AATACGTCATAAATACAATGGCGGGAAGAGCGTTCACTAACTATAATAGTCAAGCGCGGGAAAAGCGTTCAACAACTAATGAACATAATATTGAGTCGCAACAATTCCTAATGAACGCTCATACTCGACAACCCTCATGCACGAGGCTACCTAGGAACTTGAGACCCTGGGCAAGTGCGCAGTGTGACCAGGCCTTAAGACGGCACTGCTTTTCTTCACTAACTTCACTACTGAGCAGTGGTGTAGTTAGGCTCATTACCGCCAGGGACCAAAATCCTGGTCTAACATTGTAACATGATTATAAACACAAATTCTTACTTTATTTATTATTTTTTTCGATTCATATCAGGGAGATTTAAAACTTCTTGACAATAGTTATTTCCCTTTAAAAAATATTTTCCAACTTGTGATTCGCATTTATAAAATTAATTCTGGCATGAGCCGATATTACCGTAGGTTAAAATTGAGAAACATGTTGTCCACTGATTTTTAAATCAAATTAAATTGCCAAAATCTTTCAATATTCAATATTAAAAGTATGTAAAGCATAATGCCCTTAAAAGAGTGAGTCTCCTAGAAGCGTGAGGCCCCCAAAAGCCCGAGGCCCTGGTCCAGTACCCAGTGGGCTCATCCCTTAGAGTCTGAGTAAGAAATACTTATTGAGAAAGTAAAGACATTTTAATCAGCATGCATAGGTACTCTGTTAAGGGTTATATGGAAGTAGCGGTATTTTGAAAAATAATTAGGCTTCTCTACATACAGCTGGCTACCTCTAAAATGTCTAGCTAATTTTGTATGTGAATAACAATTTGAAATTTCTTTATTTCCTCCTCCTCTCAACATATTTAAAAATAAACAACTACCTTTCAACATCACAAACAGATAATATAAAATTTTGACTGGAATTAAATTTCAACTATTTCAATTTTCAATGTCAAAAATCCTACCCATTTTTGAATTAGTTAGAGTGCTATGACTGAACTATGTGCCATTGATTAATAGGGTTTCAGGTCAAAATACAAACAAATAAGAAACATCTTTGAGAAAAATATTGTAAAAAAAATTTCACTTTTATTTGAAATTCAGATGAATAATAATGGTCACATTTAGTCAATATTTATAAAATATTGCATAAATTAATTTTTTATAGAACAAAGCACAGATTTTGCATAGATGAAGCTATTTTTTGCCAAAAATCAGTTTTGCTTTCAATAGTTTAGGCACAAAACGAAAGGTCAATGAAACCCTCCTACTTCTTCTTAGCACATCACCACCTGATGCTGATATGGCCGACAAATTGGCCACTTTTTCAGACAAAACATCAGTTTCCCTCTCTGAAATCCCATGCAGATAAACTTTATACATGTCATCACATACTAAAACTAAACTTCTCGGTTCAAGGAGAATCGACAACAACCTACGGCTCTCAAATGATGAGTTCTGGTTGCAGTTGGTGTCTTCTACTTCTAATGAATTGACCGTTGAGTTCAGGTTGCAGTTGGTGTCTTCTGCTTCTAATGGAGTAACCGTTTCCATGCATCCATCATGTGACACATTACAGCTATCATGCAACACCCCAGAACTATCATGTGACACACTGGAGCTGGGTGAGCTGTCCTGGTGGATTCCTTCTTGATTCAAAGGGTGATAAAAATCTAACATTGTATGTGAGCCTAGGCTGATGGTTGAAACTGTTGGGTAGAAAAGTGGTCCATCTTCATGGGGCTGAAATAATTTAGAAAGGAAAAGTAAATTTGTTGATGAACAAGAATAGACTAGAATAAAACTACAGCATAAACATAATCCCGATAACTATGCTGTGAGGTGATTTTATAAATGTGAATGTACACAACAAGATGACATTAATGAAACATGTACAGTACACAGATGAAAAGAATAAATAAATGAAAATAGTACCATAATCCCCTGACCAGGTAAATATTCATTCACTAGTACATGATTAGGAATTTTTTCTTCAAAAATTCCAAGTTGCCCAATTTTGTCAGCATAACACTGAAGCCACTGAAATGATAAATACAATTTTTTCCCTATACATTACATTGCTAAAATAAAATCTAGTGAATAATTCCAAAGAAAAACTGAACTGATGGTCCGGAATTCATTATATCTAATAAGAATTTGTAATTTATCAAAGAGGTTAAATAAAACTATCTTAGTGCATTAAGTCTCTTTAATTTAAACATTGTTTATAGGATTTTACCATTTAAAAAAATGTTTTCAAATAATTAAATTAAAGCAAATTTAAAATTTTTTAAAAATTAGTTTAAATATTAAAGTGTCACGTATCACATGTCAGGTATAACATATGAGTAAAGCCTTATGAATAAAAAAGTAGAAGTCCAGTTTATAAGAAATAATTAATGAAATATAAATTCTAAAATTATAATTTGAAACATAAAAATGCCACAATTGAACCTTTCTATTGAAGGCTTCACTGGTTTCTAGATGTTAGAATTCCATACATCATTCTGAATGATATTTGTGCCTGGTTATTAAAAGCATGACTTACTGAAGGCAAAGCTTCCGCAACCATACCCTTAACATGAGGCAGCCCTCCTGAAAAATAATGACAAATTGTTATGAAATTTTATGCAGTTTTAATTTAGTAACATACCTTTTATAAAAGATCCATTTCGCACAGAATTTAAAACGGAAACTTTTGTACATGAATTCATTAACTTTAATTTGCCCAGATGTTTAAATTTGTGAAAATCAAACTATATTTAAAGCTTTCAAAATCTACCCCAGTTCTGCAGTTTTCGGTGTGATAGCTGTGTCCATTTTGGCTTGGGTGCAGAATAAACTTTATTTAGAAGAAGATCCTCTTCTGTCTTGCTAATAAAGTCAGGAATATAATAAACTGAAGATGGTGCCTTGGAATGGAAAGTGTAGAAAATAAAAGTGTCTTTCAATCAAAAGACTGAGTAATTATAATTCATCATTTATTACATCAGTGTAGAAATAAGATAAATTATTAATTGAAAAACAACTCTAAGTTAGCCTGCTTGTTTTTTGTTTTATTTGTTGAAATCCCATCTTAAATATTGTTTCCAAGTGTTGATCTACAGACCAGAACTAATCAGCAAACCTAACCTGCTTGCTAATCCGCATAACATGATTATTTATGATCAAATAAAATTTCAATCCATTATTCTGGCTTATAAATACTTATAGGTAAAATTGAACAGATTCATAGATTTCCGTTAGGACTCCTTAGGCTTAGGACGTAATCATCTTCTTATAGGGTTTCCATATCTAGCTGGGACCTCCTCGGGACACTCTGAGATGGGGGTGTAGAAATGAAGTAAAAAATGTATTTAATATAATTACTTTTTATTTAGAACACAATTACATGGAACTTGTTGCGGCAGAAGTACTAGGTGCACCATATTTTTCAGAAGATTTCACTTTTTTCAGCAAGTCTTTTTTCCCTTTTACGTATTTATAAAATTCCATGCAAGTCAGCTTTTAGTTAAACTGGCACTGTAAGATTGATTCCACAGTCCCTGACAGCAGTCCATTTCTTTCATCAGTCCACTGGGCCGACATCAGCGAAAATAATCTTTCCACAGTGGCTGCATTTATATGTTGCACTAACAGTTGGCGTTACTTCAGTACTTGAGCCAAGCTTGTAACAGTATTTTGCAAATCGGGACAAAATTGGGTCTTGTCGGGATGTGGGGACAAAAAGGTTCATAATAACGGTGACGGTCCCGATATATCGGGATGGATGGCAACCCTATCTTTTTAGAATTTTGGGACGGATGCCAACCCTATCCTCTTAGGCAGAAGATTAAAGTTAAAGCAAAAAATAAATTCAATAATTCAAAGGCCATAATTCCGCTACACATTCTTTCTTTTTTTTTTAAATTGCTACCAGCAGTAGTAAACCATTTATTGATTTATCAGCTGTGGACCGTGGATAACACAACACCCCCCATCTTAATTATTTATTATGTATTTATAAGTGGGCAAGTACTTAATTGAAGCAGCCTAAGCGCTGCCCTACCCGCCCTAGGCCCTCAGTATGATAGGGCATTGGGAAGGCCCTGGCTCTAGACTCAAGACACTAGTAAACTCTAGTTCTATTACTAGTATATAATAATAAATATAATTATAAATTAATATATATTTTTATTTACTTACATTGACAATTTTATATTCTTTATAATTCATTATAAAACAGTTTGTTTTTTTTTCAATTGATTAAAACAAAAATGTTATCGTAAATATCCAAAAAATATTCGTTAGATTGAGTGTACGTTTCAGTTGTTTGTAATAGCTGGCTGCAAAATCAAGGTGGCAAAAAGGTGATTGTTTCGTTCCATTATAGTTGAGAACGAATATTTATTTTGACTATGATACGCTGACATCCGGAGTATTTTCCCCTCTTTTGTTAAGTGAAATCTCATTGGTTTATTATTTCTAGCAGACCAATTGAAATCATAATGCGTCCTTGTCTTCAAAATGGCTTCTAAGTACTAAGATGTGAGATCGAAGTAACAGTTCTCAACAAAATGCTTATGGCTATCTTTATTGAATTTTTAAAGTTTGATATGTAGTTAAGGCTAGTCTATTAATTGCCATTGAAACCTGGCACAAACGTTTAAAGATAAAGGTCGGTAAATAATTTAGACCTACACTCAACACTGCAGCCTACACTAAAACTTAAATGATTTTAAATAAAAATTGTCACATTTTTTATTTTCAGCATTTTGATTTCATTTAACTTGCCACTAACACTGACCTGGGCATTTTCAGGCTGAACTGACACTTTTCATAACTTACTGATTTATTAACCATTAACTTGGTAGACAGAAGGTCTACTTAGGCAGATCAAAATTACTTTATTTGTTTTGGTTTTTTTTACTTTTGTACCGCGCTTCGAGCCTTTGGGGATGGAGCCTTTGGGGATGAAGCGTGTTTTTGAAATAAACTTTATTATTATTATTTATTATTAAATAGGGCAGCCTAGTTTTGAGAGAATATAATGATATTATTATTGACAATGAATAGAAAATAGGGTAATCTACCACTTGAGCGTCGGCCAAGAAAAAATCCAGCTGTTCCGGTTGGAAGGGCTATTTAAAAAACTATTCTTATATTATTTTTAATGACATTGGTTGTATGTATTCATTACCATAATAATAGACACATTTTTTAAAATAGAAAAACTATAAAAAAAATTTTGAAATAGAAGATGATGTGTGAAAATGGAATATGCATAGTTCTCCCCCAAGTTGACAATGAAGTTTTAAAAAATATAATTTCCATGAAAATGGTTGTGGTACATGAATCCACGTAAATATGAAGGGGAAAGATCACCGGCGCTTCTTGTGCCAAACTGTCTTTTCAGTTTACGCTTTCTGAGCATTCACGTTTTCCACATTCTGTGTGTGGACATCCGCGTTATCTGGATAAAAAAAAATTATTGTTGTCTCTTTTTCTTCCTGGCATATCAGTAGCTTGGCAGTAATAATTATTTAAGTGTATTAGTATTGTGCTATATAACTTTATAGCCTCTATACGGAAGCAAAAATATTAACAGACTCCAATGTAAGAATAGTTGTTTAAATAGCCCTTCCAACCGGAACAACTGGATTTTTTCTTAGCCGACGCTCAAGTGGTAGATTACCGCAAATAGAGTATAGTAGCATAGACTTATAATTATAACTTATAGAAGTTATAGAGTATTTGTAGATAAGCTTCTACTATTGTTCAAAAAATTGGGCATCGTGATTTTGTTATCAAAATGGCAACCTCCACTTTTTAATTTGAGGAGAATATTCTTGTTTTAATTTTTTTCCCTGATTAAATCCAGCATACAAATTATATTTCCACTTTTTTTTTAGAGCAGACATCTTGTTTTCTCAATAGATGCTTTTGTTCTAAAAAGATTTTGAGGTCTTAATTTTGAAAATTGAAGGTAAATAATGCTAACTTTACTCATTCATATATTTTGTGTGGAAAATATGTAGACTATCTCTTAAATGAAAAGACAGTCACTGTTCAGGAATAACTGCATAAATTAAACATATCCAAAATGTATAAGGTTAGAACTAATCCATTGGTGAGAAAATCTGTACACAATGTTTTGGCCTAAATTGCTCATAATCGATAACTGACATATTTTTAGGCTCTGGCTATTGGTAATAAACTAGCTTCTAGGGAGCTATTTGTTGTTAACTACCAATAGCTTCTAGAGGGCTATTGGTACTCCACTACCAGTAGCTTCGAGGTGGCCATTGGTAGTTAACAATAAAAAACTATCAATTGATGATAGTGATAGATTGATTAGTGCAGTATTGACTAAGTCTAATGATATTGTTAGTCACAAATTATTTTTAAATACATCCCAGAAATCACTCTAAAGTATGTAGGCCTATGTTGGATTTTATTTTTACTGCACAGCCTTCAAAACTGCACTCTAAACACATCTTTTTAAACTCTACTATCCTGACTGATTGCCCCCTTTGACTGAAAAATGATGCTGCTGGGTGTCATCCATTGCTTTACAATACATGTAAATAGTTTTAAATATACATTTGTTTTGTTTTATTTAATTAATGTATGTTAATTAATTTTTTAAGTTCATGATTATGTTTGATTGTATGTACAGCTTGGCGAGCCCAGCCCCACGCTATATAAAACCACTTATAAGTATAATAATAATTACTTTGGCCTTGGCAAAGAGGAAGCTGGGTAACATTTTTTCAGACTATGATCCCCTCGACCAAGTATCATACATCTATCTATTAGGGGTGTGCCGGACCCCGGTCCGGAATCCGGTTCCGCCGGATTTTGCACTATCCGGTGAAATCCGGTTCCGCCGGATTTACATGTATCCGGAACAACCGGATTCCGGAATCCGGAATATACCGGATTTCGGAATTTGCCAGATTTTGTGACTCACCGGATCATAATCTGAAATAAAAGTAATTCTCTTTCCCGAATTTCACACGATCACGATACATTAATCGATTGTTTCGAGCGTTGAGCTTGTTTAATGTTTAATATTCCGTACATACCAGAGGCTAGAGTCAGCACCGCTAATAGTGGCCAATAGTGTAGGGACTTTGATAAGAAAATTTAAACTTTTTGTAAAAATAAACCAATGGCATAGTTGAAAAGATGTAATTTTTTAAAGAATTATAACACCAAAATCATATTTTTAGCTGTTGTAGTTTTAAAGTTATGAATTTTTAAAGTACGACTTGGTTTGTCATTTTTTAACATGGACTGCATCTCCACATTCTGTGATCTCATTCCACCAATCCCGTCATGCGCAATGACTATATAGTTTATATAAGGCAACGCATTCCCTGCCTTATCACTAAAATACTGTTTAGACTTAGTTTAAACTTTCAACTTTGGCACATGAATAATTAATTAAAGCTTTCCCTGACCAATGGTTTAATAGTTTTTGCACACGGCAAACTCTTATGAATGAAACTCTGAGGTAGTACTACGATACAGTTATGCAAGTGGCTGTGAATGGTTGCCAATGACAACGTGTTGCACACGGTAAATTCTGATCATTTATAATATGGATTCTACCGGGTTGTTAAAGCTCAAATTAAAACATTCCAGTTTAAATGTCTTTAAATGCATTCTGAAACACAAGTTATCAATTATTTTGATGTAAATAGTGATAATAAATTAATATTTCCTAAGTATCGTCAACTTCCGCCATTAAAAAGGGGGGCGTGGCCAACCCCATGGCGAAATTAGGTTGAGCGAGCTGCATGACCTGCTGCGAACGCGTAGAAACATGGCGTCTCTCGTAAGACACTTATCCAAATGGAACGGAACTCAAATATATATCGAAAGTACTAATTTAATAATAAATAGACACACACATCGGAAAATTAAAAACTCGGATTTTTTGGCGCCGATTGCGAATTCCCATACACAAAAAGTAGTAGTCCACCTTGACTTACCGAAGTATCTACCAATAGTACCAAAATCCGGAATCCGGGAGAAACCGGAATCCGGATCCGGCGGATTTCGCATAAGAAAATCCGGATCCGGATCCGGTTGGAAAAAACGGATCCGGCACACCCCTACTATCTATATTAGGTCTATGTTATAAATTATATGGCAATATAGCCAAATCTTAGCATGAGGAAGGCTACAGCAGACAGTGTTTAAAAAGTACTGTAGACTTATAATTAGTGCCAAGGTGTTTTCACTAGTATGAATTAGTAATAAATTAACTAGGCTATAATTCGCCAGCGTCATTGATGGCGGGTTTTTAAAGCTTTGATTTTGGTTTGATTTGATTTGCTGGACTACCAATAGCTCTCTAGAACCTTTTGGTAGTTTCTACAAATAGTTCCCTGCCCTAACTAGAAGTTATTGGTAGTAAACTACCAATAGACACTTTCTATTTTTAAAGTAAATATCTTGATTTACACTAGAAATCCAGCATATGGGGTCACTCATTTTCAAACAAAATAAAATAATTTAATAGCACCAATACATATTTCTAATATGATCTGATGCTTTTATTTTGAGGTATTGAAGTCAGGGAGTGGGATAAATACCCATTATTACAACTAAAATATTTACTGAGTGACTGTCAATGGGGTGAGTTGAGGAGTACTATAAATACTTGCGGCTTCTCAGAGCTCAATTTTGTATTGTGGAAATCAACACTTACTTTTTCCACCCCCTTGCCGACAAAACGCAGTGGTCACCAGATTATAACTGAATCCATACAAAATAAAATGAAAATTTTTGGTACAACAAAAGTATGAATTAACGAGTATTGAAGAAGCAATATTTTTATTAACCGGTAATAATCTAAATACAGTATTATGTGAACAACAATCAACAGAATTCGGTCACAAAATAAGGTGGTGTAGTTCATACTACTAGTATATTCATAGTAATCATGTAACATACCGTAAAAAGGGACAAACAAACTCACATTTCACATAGATTTTTTTTATTTTCATAGCTCAAATTATAATTAATAAACAAAATTTTTCACCGCTAAGGCTACATTCACAGACCTGTTTACTCTTACGATTTTGGCGTACAATGTAAGTTATGTAAGATTTTGAGGTGTATACATTATATATATTCTGCATGTTTATTTTTTTTTACTATTAATATAATGTATTGAACGATTTTGTGATGATATTGTACGATTTTAAGAGTTGGAACGTAAACATGTCTGCATTCATTGATTCAGCCCTATTGTGTGTGGACAGAAGCAGTGCGCTCTAACCATATCAAATTATGCGTAGGATGCTTTGCGTACTACTCATCACGTAATATGCATTGGGCGTGTCTTGCCCTACCCATCACCAGCCAAATATTTATATTAGTTATATATTTTATATATATATACTAGCTGAAGTACCCGCTCTGTGTCTAGGTAGCAAGCATTTTTATTGGCACATTTTGATAAAGTCACGGCTGGCTATGCAGTTTAACTATTGGCGAAAAACTTTATAGACCACATTTTTGGTGTCAACTCTGTGGTCTTTCTTTAAGTTGCCTTGAGAAGGAGAATTAGCAGGAACCATTTTCATCTTTCCATGGAACTTGTGGTAAACATTCTGCCCTCTAAGACGTGGTTCCCATTTGAATTTTTAACCAATGTGTAGTGTATGGGAATTTCAATATATAATCCTCTCTGGCATTAGGATCTTCCTAATTATGGTTAAACCAAGGCAGAAATTTAGACTTGCTGGCTTTTTGCTGTACAGCTTCAGTTTTCTTGCCTGATATATAGCATATTGTATGCTTGTCCTCAAGATGAACATTTAATCTTTCCACATGATCAGTTTGATGGTGCATTTTGAGCCTCTAGCATGCTTCAGGTTCACTTCTATAATGGGACACCTAGTAATTTTTTACTTCATCCCATTTAATAGTAGCTTCCTGTGAGGATAGTAACGAACTAAATAATTGCACAGTCATGTTCCTTGTAAACATAGTTGAAGAGGTAGTTAATGCTTTGAATTGAGCTACATATCTGTTATCCACTTTGTTTTCCCTAAGTTCCGAAAAGTTACAGTCGTCTCATCATTGATATTTTGTGTAACCATTGACATTGCTGTTGGTCTTAGCACAGAAATGTTTAAGGAATTCTTTTGTGCATTTGTTGTGCGTTTGGATTTAATGGACCACATGGGATGTGTATCATACAGGATTTTACAATTTTATGTAGCCTGAGGCAGGCATGTTTATCAGGGTGCTCTGCACTGACAATTTTGTCAATTCTTTCATTTTCTCTGGTTTTTTCTTCCGAGGCCATGAATAGCAATATGTGGCAGACCTTGTTTTTGTAACTGGATCACATGGAGCATTGCGCGAACAAGTCCAAATCTATAGTGTTTTGTAATGTCTTCAAGTAGCATATTAAGTTTCAACTCAAACACTTTGGCTACTAAATCAGACTGGTCACATGGTTGCTGGCCATGATATACATTTTTCCCTCCATTTAGGATTATACATGAATGTTAAAAATAAGTCAGGTTTGCCATATTTCCTGATCAGGACATAACATATTGGTAATTTTGAGCTATATTTCTTGGACTCCTTAAGAATGTTGAATGCGATAGAATATTCTTTCAATGCAATATGCTAAAGTCATCCAAATTATGGTTGTCCACAAATCGGTGAAGGACATCACAGCCTTCAGCACTTATTGTGTTTTGAGTTTTTGGAAACCAATTCACATGGTTTGTCTTGGTCTTGCAATGGGCATGAACAATGAATTGGTGAGTCAGCTTTCCTACATTGAGGAACTGGTTTCCATCATGATTGGCAAAATGGTATGAATATCTTTGAAGCAGGGACACATTTCCTTGACTAACAGCTTTCTTCAGTTCTTTGATACACCCTGAATCCCCATATGGTAGAAGCAAAAGGTAGCACATTGGGTCGTAGAGTCTGCTCAGGGTGGATATATTTTGTAAAATTTTGCTTTTCTGGGGGTGCCCCCATCTGCACTGTGAAAAAAAATTTCTCCTCTGGCAGTGGGGTCGTTGAATCTATCGGGTGCACATCTTTTGGATTTTGCATCACATGACACTATAGAGATTAATGTAGGCCTATTTGAAAGAGATATGGTCATGAGCTGCAGATATTTAGTTCCATATTAAAAAAAAAAAATAATTGTATGTGTTTGAAAAAATGTATTTTGTCCGTAAAATTTTTAAAGATTCGAATTATTTGATTGAGTTGTCACTTCCTTGCTCAGCGTTAATGTTCAATGCACCTGCATACTAATTTAGTCAAATTCTAATTCGGCTCTTTGGCTGATAAGCCGCCATAGTCATCAAATTGCAAATTTATATAATACCGGTACAATAACATAATGAATATCTATAAATATCAAATATATTTTCGTCTAGAATTGTGGTGAGCAGTATTTAACACTAGCTACTTTAAGAAAGTTATGGAGATTACTAATAAATTGGTACCGGTATCAGAAATGGGCATCAATGCGGGAAGATTTGAGTTTTTAATTTTTCTTAAGTTTCGTTTATTTGTAAAAAATTTAAAGCTCTTTTTGTTTATAATTACACATTTTGACTACACACATCATTTAGAAGTCATTTTGACCTACTTTTCCCATATACTTCTTATTAATTTTGCTCTGTGCCCTATATTTAGTTTACCAGGAGTAAAAATAATCATATTTGCCAATATAGACATGTAAAACAACTAAGTCAAAATCTGTGTAAATAAATTAATTATTTTCCAAGAAAGCTGTTAGGGTGACATTTTTGCAAATGCCATTGACCTAGGACTATTTATTGACCCATGCACCTATGGGAATTAGATTTTACGCAAAGATTCATTTAAAACAATAATTTTCTGTGTCCATTTAAATGACTTGTCCAACAATTCCTTGATTTAGAATGTGCAGTTCTAGGATCTCGGGCTTAGCACAAATAACATCAACATATGCAAAGTATAAAGAAACACTTGAATATGAAGTAATGGATTTAGTCCAGGTTTTAATTAAATACCAAGGGAGGAACTTAACCCACTCCTGCCTAACCACATATGATGTAAAAAATCTCTCAAATGCCTAACCAAAGAGGAATAAGTTAAACTCATTTAGAAATGTACAAAAGAAATAAAGCATTAAAAAAAAGAGTCATCATTGTTTAAATTTTGATTGAGCATTAAAATTATACAGAAATTTCAGCATCAGGCTAAAAAAAAAACTATGGTTACGTTTGCTAGTTAAGTTGCTAGGTGCACACTGTGAAGTATGATAGTGAAAGGCAGTGGGAATTAGGTAGGGTCACAAGCAGCTTTGTCAGCAGGCGTAGGTGAATATAGAAAATTTATTAAAGGAATCACACATTAAAATTATCCCTAGCTAACATTTCTAAATCCATTAACATAGTTTTTCAATAATGATAGTGAAAGTTATTTTAATACTTCATTTTATTTTAAGGCAACTAATGCCAGTTTTTACTGTTAAGGGGATTCATATAATCATTTCTGTGCACTATATTTATGACTTATATTATTTGACATTCACCAGTGTTGCAGGGTTCCAACAGTACTTTTTATAGGAAGTCATTTGGTGGCTTCCTTATGCTCATTACGGTAGAGCTATCTTTTCATTACGGCTCATGCTACTCTTTAAAAAAATATTTCACCATGACTAAATCTATCATGTTCCAGAATGGCACACAGCAATTCAACAGGACCTAGAAAAGGATCAAGATATCATCGTTTAGATGACATTCCTACTGATACTTTTACTCCAAGAACATATCAGGTATTTACATTTGGTGACCTATTTTCAAACTGACTTTACTTGTAAATCTGGGTAGATAATTTTAGACAATTTTTTCTGTTTATAAAGGATTCCTATGATCATTGTCTTCTGTCCATTTTATGTGTACATGATTCTTATGATCATTGTCTTCTGTCCATTTTATGTGTACATGATTCCTATCATCATTGTCTTCTGTCCATTTTATGTGCGTATTTTAAAATTAATGTGCCTACATTGATTTTATTAATTCACTTAGATACAACTGTTGGATTCTGCTTTGAAGAGAAATACATTGTTGTGTCTGGGGTGTTCTGAAAGTAAATTGTTTCTTGCCCTGATGTTGGCTAAAGAGCTGGCATCACCAACCAGACTGCAACGTAGTCAAGGTGGTAAACGGACATTTTACCTCACAGACACAGGTAATATGGTTGACTGTTAAAATATTAGACTTGGCATGAGTTATGTTAGGTGAATTCCATCATAACTGACATAGCTTTCAGAAAAATAATTTCACTTTGCATCCATGCCATTAAGTGTGTTTATTATTGAACTAATCATGTTTTTGGCTCATACATTGGTAGACTGTCAAATAATAGTCTTTGTAAAGAGATATTAAGCATAATAGTCAAAATTAAACAACCCCTAAAAACAGTTTTTTCCTATCCTTAAAATTCAATTTTGTGCAACGTGGCGATGTCTACAGTTCTGAAGAAATTCTGGCATCATATTTCCTTCATCTCCTCTCTCCCCCCACCGACATGCAAACACACTTTTTTTTTCACGCTCCTGAATATGTTAATATTCTAATGTCCCGCCCGATTTCTATAGAACAAAAAGAAAATATTACGCACCAAATGACCTTTTGATATTTTTAAGAATCCATTTTGCACAGTTATCTGCAATTTAATTTGTGAAATCATTGGCATCTGGAAGCATTAAAACTGATTTTGGGGGTGGGGTGGGGCTGAAAATGTGATAAAATATGTTGCCATTGGCAACAAGTCTGTGCGCCAAGTTTCAGCTCGATAGGGTGATGGGAAGTGGGTCAATTAGCCATCTGACGATTTTGCCTTACACACAAAAACACACGAAAAGAAAGGAAGTTAATATAAAGAATTTAAAACTTGTAAATTTTTTAATTGTAACTGACTTCACATGAACAAGACATGATATTGGAGTTAGCATATTTTTTGTTGATATCCTCTGAAATCTGCATTAATTGAAATATATTTTTTCAAATAAATTATCTACAGTCTTTACTTTTCTGATGAAAACCTTGAAAAAAAAAAAAATGATTGCAAAAGCACGTTTAAAAAAAAATAATAATGATATAACTTACGTAAACATAAAAAATAGCATTTTAATGCTTGTCCATCATATGACATGACCATGACAATGAAAAATGTCTGCCTATATTTATTAGATATTAACACTATGAAATTCAAAGATGGCCACCAGGTCATGTGTCAAACCAAAACAAAGATACTAAAACTGAATCCGTACCAAGAAGCATGAAATAAATTCATATAGCAACCAAATTTTATGCAATTTAATTTTTGGAAGTTGTATCCGATTTCATATCGAATTCACTGTTAAGATAAAAGATTTACAAACCAGTTAACATTTAAGTAATATGAGAATGAAAGACGTCATTTTTAAAAGTGAAAATATCATATATTTTTTAAATTAAATTTTCTACTTTTTTTTTGTTCAAGTTCTATGTGTGGGAAGAAAATAATATTTTTGTTCTTCTTTAGATGATGATGTGGAAATGCTTTACCAGACGTTGCCACATCACACTGATCTGCAGGTGGAGTTTTGTTACCCTCATTCGCTTTTAGAAGACGACACTCAAGATGAAATTAGTGGTACGCAAATGTCATTGCAAAAGTGGTGCCTGCTTGTTGATTCCAGCAGCATTCTTGTCTGCAGTGGTCACCTCTTTTTAACAGCTCTTTGTAAAAACTACATAGATCTGAAAGAGGTGAACTTGCTTGTGTTTGATAACTGTCATAGAGCGGTAGAAGTGGAGAACCACCCTTACAAGGAGATAGTGAACGGAATCAAAAGTTTACCTCAGAAATCTGATCAACCGCATATCCTTGGTGTCACTGCTTCCATTGCCGGTACTGACTGCAGTGATCCCTTGAAACTGCAGCAGACTATATCAGAAATGGAGGAAGCCATGTTTTCCTATGCAGAGACATCTATGCTCATTCTGTCTGAGCGATTTGGATGCCGCCCAAAAGAGTCTGTTGTCCAGTGTCTTGACCTTGAACTTGATGATGAGCAAGAAGTCCTCAAAGATACGTTGGAAGAGATGTTAGAGCAAAATTATTATTTCTTTTCTGATTGTCGAATTGCTGTGGATGAGACTGTGGATAATCGCGACCCAAGAGAAACTCCAATGCAAGTTTTATCGCAGTGTCTAAATATTCTCAACGTTCTAGGTTCTTGGTGCACTGCGTCTATATCAGAGTACTTTGTCATGCAGCTTGAGAAAATAGTCAAATGTGAGAAAAATGAAATACACAAGAAATTTTTGAGATGTGTTATAACAACTCTCAGAGTACTCATCAAAGAATTCGAGAAGCAGTTCCATCCAGATTATCATGTAAATGAGTTGCTGGAATACACGACACCAAAAGTAAGAGAGCTCGTCAAAGTGCTGCGCAAGTACAAGCCGGAGGTTGACTTCATTATTGTTAGCAACGGTGACAGCTTTAATGATGATGAAGAATTCTCCGACCTCTCCGACGAGGATGATGATTCTATAATGTCTGATTCAGATGGAGAAGACAACAGCGGGGAGCCTTTTAATGGGAGTTCAAAACCTATGCATATTGCGGTCAAGCGGACAGCTGACGGAGGGCATGAACGAATCATGACATTCTCTGAGGAGGAGGAGAAAAACCTTTGTGGAATAGTCTTTGTAGAAAATCGTTACATAGCTTTTGGTTTAAATAAAGTCATTGAAGAGGTTTGCTCCTGGGATGAAAATCTCTGTTTTGTAAAGAGCTGCCACGTCACCGGGCAGGGCCTGCGAAGTGCAAACGGAAAGCCACGGGTCAATCGCACATATAAACGCCAAGAAGAAGCCCTGAGAAAGTTCCGGACACAAGAGTGCAATCTTGTTATCGCCACGCTAGAACTGGAAGAAGGTATCGACATCCCCAAGTGCAATTTAGTCATCAGATTTGATCCTCCTAAGGATTTCAGAGCTTACGCACTCTCAAAGGTAATAACATTTTTTTAATGTGTAAGTTCAGATTTGACCAGGACCTAGCAATTCTTAACCTTGAATTGTAGATTAAAAATATTCCCTAAAATGTACATAAATCATCTAAGCCTGAATGCCACCACATAGATTATCTAAGCCTGAATGCCACTACCAAGATATCTATCATTAAATGTTAAATAAATATTTTCCAAATGTACTTTTGCACTATTAAAAAGAATATGAATGATATTCATCTCAGTCTTATATTTTGCCTCTTAGCTGGGAACTACTTTAAAATGATGATTTGATTACTATATATATAGTGTGTTGTTTCATTTGTTTATCATCTTTTCATAAAAGTTTATAATAATCTCTTTAAATCTTGGTCCCAGGGCAGAGCCAGAGCAAGAGATGCTGCTTATGTCATACTTTTAGATGATGAAAATTTTGAAGGCTTCAACACAAGCTTAAAAGTGTTCAAAGGAATAGAGCAGGTATATTTATTATGGTCGTCATGGTGAAATCATCCTTAGGAAAAGAATTTCTTTAAGATGCACACAGATATAATAAGATCTCTAAGATTTGTCAAACTCTGATATCTATATTTGATAGGTTTCATTCATCTGATTCTTTAACACATTGTTCATATGTCAAATACACTGAAGTAAGCACATGTCCTTTTCCATTATTAATGTAACTTTGATCTATAACTATATCGAACAGACTGTACATTTCATCAACACATGTATAGGCCAGCTGGCTAAAATTGAGAATGATATACAAACATCTCCTACAAAGTTCTTTATATGACTGCTGGTGAAATAAACACAGATGCTAAAAGACAGAATAGAAAATACATTTTAATTACCATAAAAATACATCACCAAGTACAATGCAGGAAAAGCTTTCATTAACTAATGAATCACTTAAAATCACATAGCGCACAATAAAACACAATATCCATGCGCAACAATTATTAGTGAGCTCCCATAATGGACAAGATGCACAGATATAAGAATCTCTATAAGATGCACAGATAAAAGATGTTCTATAAGATGCACAGATAAAAGAATTTCTAAGTAAAAGATGCACAGATATAAGAAGTTTTATAAGATGCACAGATAAAGAGATTTTTACAATCAAGAAACTTAATAAGATTTTTTTAAATGTATTTCTCTTAGGTTCTACTAGGTGAAAATAGAAGTCTTCAGGCGATCAGAAGCAATATTCCTGGTGAAGATGCAGACAATGAATATGATAGCAAGGATGATGATGATTCAGATGCCAGCAGTGATGAAAGAGATAACCTGCCCCCTTATTGTACCATGCCCCATTCCCTTAGTTCACCTCATGTTACTTTGCAAGGGGCAATAGCCCTAATCAATAGGTAGGAGTGCTAGTGACACATCGTTTTAATCCGTAACTAGAAGATTAGGTTAAATATATCACGTTTAGCATACATACACAATTTGTAGGTTATTTTCACGATAACTCTTACTTTTATCACATAAGTCTGTTTGTAGTTCTATTTTGTCTGCAACATTTCAGATCCATTATAAAACATACCAGTTTAGTGAAGTGTTTAGTAGGGGTGTGCCGGAATCCGGTTCCGCCGGATTTTGCATTATCCGGTGAAATCCGGTTCCGCCGGATTTACACGTATCCGGAACAACCGGAATCCGGAATATACCGGATTTCGGAATTTGCCAGATTTTGTGACTCACCGGATCATAATCTGAAATAAAAGTAATTCTCTTTCCCGAATTCCACATGATCACGATACATTAATCGATTGTTTCGAGCGTTGAGCTTGTTTAATGTTTAATATTCCGAACATACCAGAGGCTAGAGTCAGCACCGCTAATAGTGGCCAATAGTGTAGGGACTTTGATAAGAAAATTTAAACTTTTTGTAAAAATAAACCAATGGCATAGTTGAAAAGATGTAATTTTTTAAAGAATTATAACACCAAAATCATATTTTTAGCCGTTGTAGTTTTAAAGTTATGAATTTTTAAAGTACGACTTGGTTTGTCATTTTTTAACATGGACTGCATCTCCACATTCTGTGATCTCATTCCGCCAATCCCGTCATGCGCAATGACTATATAGTTTATATAAGGCAACGCATTCCCTGCCTTATCACTAAAATACTGTTTAGACTTAGTTTAAACTTTCAACTTTGGCACATGAATAATTAATTAAAGCTTTCCCTGACCAATGGTTTAATAGTTTTTGCACACGGCAAACTCTTATGAATGAAACTCTGAGGTAGTACTACGATACAGTTATGCAAGTGGCTGTGAATGGTTGCCAATGACAACGTGTTGCACACGGTAAATTCTGATCATTTATAATATGGATTCTACCGGGTTGTTAAAGCTCAAATTAAAACATTCCAGTTTAAATGTCTTTAAATGCATTCTGAAACACAAGTTATCAATTATTTTGATGTAAATAGTGATAATAAATTAATATTTCCTAAGTATCGTCAACTTCCGCCATTAAAAAGGGGGGCGTGGCCAACCCCATGGCGAAATTAGGTTGAGCGAGCTGCATAACCTGCTGCGAACGCGTAGAAACATGGCGTCTCTCGTAAGACACTTATCCAAATGGAACGGAACTCAAATATATATCGAAAGTACTAATTTAATAATAAATAGACACACACATCGGAAAATTAAAAACTCGGATTTTTTGGCGCCGATTGCGAATTCCCATACACAAAAAGTAGTAGTCCACCTTGACTTACCGAAGTATCTACCAATAGTACCAAAATCCGGAATCCGGGAGAAACCGGAATCCGGATCCGGCAGATTTCGCATAAGAAAATCCGGATCCGGTTGGAAAAAACGGATCCGGCACACCCCTAGTGTTTAGAAATAACAGGTTCTAAGCACCACTCTTAATTAATTAACAGACAACTTTTAGGATTAGTCCACTTACGCAGGAGCCGTTGCCATTACATATTGGCTTTATTGTTTTAAAAAAAAATGTTTTTCCAGATATTGTGCAAAACTTCCCAGCGATGCATTTACTCACTTGACCCCTCAGTGTCGTATAGAAAAACTGGACGGCTATGCCCCCTCTTACATCGCTAACCTGCGTCTGCCAATCAATTCTCCTGTCAAAGAGGAGCTGAAGGTAATCAATTCTCAAAAATTTTTTTTGTCATCTGTCACAATTGTGTAGACTTTGCAGGACAAAGTCACAAGCGCTGGGATATTTCTTTAGGAGGATAAACTATTCTCTCTCGATGCATCTGTGGAACCCAAAAGAAAATCAAATTCTTTTATTTAATGATAATATAATTCAAGATTCTAAATTTGCAAGTAGCACATAATGCCAAGTTTCTTACTTCATCTTATTTCCTCAGGGACCTGCAATGAGAACCAAAAAGCTTGCCAAGATGGCAGTAGCCCTAAAGATGTGTGAAATCTTACATAAAAAAGGTAAAATATGATTATGTTTTGATTTCTGTTTGTTGTTTTTGGAGATGAAGACTTTTAAACGAAATTTTCTTTTGATTGTCTTGTACTCTTATTCAATCTGTCACATATCCCATTCTTAGTGTTTTGTTAATTTTTTAAACATAGTTGCTTTGACATATTTTTTTGAGTTGAACCCCTCCACCAAACATACACATTTTGCTTGGCTTTGACATATTTATTGAGTTAGTTGACCCCTCCACCAAACATACACATTTTGCTTAGCTTTGACAAATTTATTGAGTTAGTTGAACCCCACCACCAAACACATGGACACTTTTCTTTGTCATATTAATTGAGTTAGTTGAACCCCTCCACCAAACACATGGATACTTTACTTTGACATATTTATTGAGTTAGTTGAACCCCTCCACCAAACACATGGACACTTTACTTTGACATATTTATTGAGTTAGTTGAACCCCTCCACCAAACACATGGATACTTTACTTTGACATATTTATTGAGTTAGTTGAACCCCTCCACCAAACACATGGACACTTTACTTTGACATATTTATTGAGTTAGTTGAACCCCTCCACCAAACACATGGATACTTTACTTTGACATATTTATTGAGTTAGTTGAACCCCTCCACCAAACACATGGACACTTTACTTTGACATATTTATTGAGTTAGTTGAACCCCTCCACCAAACACATGGACACTTTACTTTGACATATTTATTGAGTTAGTTGAACCCCACCACCAAACACATGGACACTTTACTTTGACATATTTATTGAGTTAGTTGAACCCCACCACCAAACACATGGACACTTTACTTTGACATATTTATTGAGTTAGTTGAACCCCACCACCAAACACATGGACACTTTACTTTGTCATATTTATTGAGTTAGTTGAACCCCACCACCAAACACATGGACACTTTACTTTGACATATTTATTGAGTTAGTTGAAACCCTCCACCAAACACATTGACACTTTACTTTGTCATATTTATTGAGTTACTTGAACCCCTCCACCAAACACATGGACACTTAACTTTGACATATTTATTGAGTTACTTGAAACCCTCCACCAAACACATGGAAACTTTACTTTGACATATTTATTGAGTTAGTTGAACCCCTAAACCAATAATGACATAGACAACATTTTTTGACAAATTGATATTTTCTGTTCTCAGGTGAGCTGGATGAAAATTTGGTTCCTGTGGGTAAAGAGATGTTCTTATACGAAGAGGAAGAAGAGTGGGTGAATGAGGAGGATTTGGCTGGCCAAGCGCGGCCTGGGACCACCAAGAGAAAGCAGTATTACATTAAGAAGGTAGGTTTTTTAATTCATTATTTTACTTACTCGATAAGTATATTGGTTGGAAACAGGGCCATACTTCAGTGGTCACAAAATACTCAAAAGTTAAAACATTACAAAAAAAGGAAACTATACATCAAACTGTTAGCAGACCAGTTGTAACATATGCAAGTGAAACTTGCATTTAGCAAAAACGACAGAAAACCTATTGGCAGTTCAAAGTTTTCCTTAAAATTTACGAACCATCAAAGGATGAATATGGATGGAGAATACAAAATAACCACAAATTGTACAGACCATATCAGGATCCATAGTAGCAGAAATAAAAAAAAGGGTAGGCTACGCTGGGTGGGACATGTAGAAATAATGTCTAATTATAGAGGAGTGAAGAGGGTGCACCATCAAAACCCCAGAGAAAAATGGCTCAAAGGTAGACCTAGGCTTAGAATGATGGATGATGTGGTAAAAGATCTACAGCAGCTTGGAATTCAAGCATGGAAAAGAAAGGCATTAGATAGTTCTGAGTGGAAGGATGTGGTGAGGCAGGCCAAAGTTCTACATGGGCTGTAGCACGCCAGGGATGGATGGATAAGACAATGATTCTGATAGGTTCATTTTTTTTTTTGTTATATTTAAAAAAATGATATTTTGGTAATAAGTGTGTATGTTCCAAAACTTGAGAATTGCTTTACAGTAATTTTTGCAATAATTTTAGATTTTTTGGAATGGAATTTTTTTTTAAATTTATTTTTATCTTTAGGCTATATTAAATTTTTTTAAATAAAACTATTTCATGCCTTGTAATTGGGTTTACATCAAACAGACAACGGATGCATTACTTCAGTGTCGCCCCAAACCCGGGCAACCTTGCTTCCTATACTTGATCAATTTAAAGCTGACTGGACCAATCACTGATGAACAAAACACCAGGGGTCGTGTCATCTATGCCCCAGAGGATACTGTACAGACTCTTGGCATCCTTTTGTCCAAGAAAATTCCTCTAGTTAGTACCTTGTTCTCCTTATGATTATAGAGCTGTGGGTGTTTGTGATATAGATTATAGAGCTGTGGGTGCTAGTGAGATAGATTATAGAGCTGTGGGTGCTAGTGAGATATATTATAGCGCTGTGGGTGCTAGTGAGATAGATTATAGAGCTGTGGGTGCTAGTGAGATAGATTATAGCGCTGTGGGTGCTAGTGAGATAGATTATAGAGCTGTGGGTGCTAGTGAGATAGATTATAGAGCTGTGGGTGCTAGGGAGATAGATTATAGAGCTGTGGGTGCTAGTGAGATAGATTATAGAGCTGTGGGTGCTAGGGAGATAGATTATAGAGCTGTGGGTGCTAGTGAGATAGATTATAGAGCTGTGGGTGCTAGTGAGATAGATTATAGAGCTGTGGGTGCTAGTGAGATAGATTATAGAGCTGTGGGTGCTAGGGAGATAGATTATAGCGCTGTGGGTGCTAAGGAGATAGATTATAGAGCTGCTGGTGTTAATGAAATAGATTATAGGTAATTCGATGTGGTGAAGAAGGTTCAAAATCATTAGATAACAGGTATTTTAAGGGATTAAGTTGACAAATGCATTTTTGATTATTTTGCTGTTTGATCTCAAAGGTTTAAAAATTTTCCAACAGATGCCTTACTTCCCTGTATATACAAGATCAGGGGAGGTTACTGCATCCATAGACCTACAGCAGACCGATCTGATCTGTTCCGAGGATGAGATTAATCGGCTTTTAAATTTCCACCATTTTGTGTTCTCCGGTGTTCTGCATTTAGAAAAAGACCCGATGGAGTTTGATTGTGTCAATGCAGACTGTGGATACATTATTGTGCCTTTGAATGGTACGAGATTAAAAATAGTTTTTAAATGGATTTATGTTGTCTTTTGTAAACTGTAAGCAGTATTAAGTGGCCAAATGAAAGAATGAAATTAACTTATTGATTCAAATTACATTAATAATTAAATAAGATGTATATATCCTAAACAGAATTAATTAACCTGATTTCATTCAGATTCTTGACATTTTTATTTAAGTTGTTAAAGTCCCAAGTCAGCCCTATGTTTAATAAAACTCAGCCAAGACAACTTAATATCTTTGACTCATTGAATTTGTTATGTTTTTTTATGTGAATTTAATATATTCAATAATACTTGTCCTTATTTGCTTTGACCAGATATTCATTTATTTTCAACTTTCATCTCAGGAAAAGGTTGTGAGGAGCTAACTATTGAATGGAGTTTTGTGGACAAAGTCATTGACTTCATCAAAGTAGAGAAACGGGCAGGTTTCAGCAAGAAAAGTGGAGATGAGTCCTTTCAGTTCTGCCTGGATGACTTTCAGGATGCTGTGGTCATGCCTTCGTATCGTAACATTGATCAACCCCAACATTTCTATGTAGCGGAGATCCGCCATGATCTAAATCCTCTTAGTCCATTCCCTTCACCTGAACTCTATAAAACATTCCAAGTAGGTCAAATTATCAGTTTTTTAAATTGTTTTCAATGGTATAATCTTCTCTGTTCTGTCAATTGTGCAAAAAATTCAAATGAAAGAAAAAAAATCTTATGTTATAATTTTCTCATGGCTCCATAAATTTCTCCTGTACATATATTTTATTACTATGTAATACTGAATTGAAATAAATGTGAATGATGTAATCTGGCTGTCATATAATGACTGATACTCTATTGTTACTTAAATTGTGCTACTTCATATTGTTGGCATGTTATTCTTTCATCATTCATAAATTATACCTTTCATAAATTATGACTTTTCAAATGAGGAAAAAAATATGTTCACACAGCTCTAAACTTTTAAAATGTTTTTTTCTGTAATTTTCTGCAGGATTACTATACCACAAAGTATGGCTTGATGATTACAAACACGGAACAGCCCTTGCTGGACGTTGATCACACTTCTGCTAGACTTAACTTGCTCACACCGAGGTTTAAATACATTCCTTCCTGGTCATCTTTAACATTATCTTTGAAAATATCCAGCTAATGAAGGCAAAGATACCCAGCCATCGAAGGCTAAGATATCCAGCCATCGTGGGCAAAGATATCCAGCCATCAAAGGCAGAGATATCCAGCCATTGAAGGCAAAGATATGTAGCCATCAAAGGCTAAGATATCCAGCCATCAAAGGCTAAGATATCCAGCCATTGAAGGCAAAGATATCCAGCCATCTAGGGCAAAGATATTAAGCCATTAAAGGCAAAGATATCTAGCCATCGAAGGCAAAGATACCCAGCCATCGAAGGCTAAGATATCCAGCCATCGTGGGCAAAGATATCCAGCCATCAAAGGCAAAGATATCCAGCCATCAAAGGCAGAGATATCCAGCCATTGAAGGCAAGTTATGTAGCCATCAAAGGCTAAGATATCCAGCCATCAAAGGCAGATATATCCAGCCATTGAAGGCAAAGATATGTAGCCATCAAAGGCTAAGATATCCAGCCATCAAAGGCTAAGATATCCAGCCATTGAAGGCAAAGATATCCAGCCATCTAGGGCAAAGATATTAAGCCATTAAAGGCAAAGATATCCAGCCATCGAAGGCAAAGATATCCAGCCATTGAAGGCAAGATATCCAGCAAAGCCGTGTGTCATTTAAAATAAGAAATTATAAAATCTTTTAATGAAAACTTGAAATTGTCCAGAATTGAAACTTAAAAATTATTTCATTGTTTATAATTCTAATAATGTTTAAATATTAATCACCATGCAAACGTTTCATTAATTTTGAACAGGTACATGAATCAGAAAGGAGTGGCCCTTCCTACGAGCAGTGCAGAAACCAAGAGAGCAAGGCGGGAAAATTTGCAACAGAAGCAGATTCTAGTTCCAGAACTTTGTGATGTCCATGTTTTCCCTGCATCTTTGTGGCGTAAAACCGTTTGTCTGCCTGCCATTTTGTATCGTGCTAATTATCTCTTACTTGCTGACGAGCTGAGGCGGAAGATTTCAAGGGAAACGGGAATTGGCGTTGAAGAGCTCCCGCCAGGATTTAGATTTTCTAAACTCGATTTTGGATTTGATACCAGTCCAGAAAAATTAATGGATGCTGAGGTGAACTGCAATAAAAAGATTTCTTCCAACATCAAAGAGGAAAGTGCTGAAAGATCCCCGGACCCCGTTTTGTGCTGCATGGAAAAGGATTCCTCTAATAATCGGATGATAAAGGAATCTTTGGTAAATGACACAGATAAAGCAAAGGATGAATCATCAACTTCTTCAGACAGTGATTCTGGCATCGCTTCATCCAGTTCTGACAATAACATTGATATAACTCCCAGTCACAAAATTCTTATTAAGTCTTCAGAACATTTGGAGCACGGCTCTGTCAACCCTTCCAAAAAATTCCAAGAGTTGTGTGGCCATGACAATAATGTTAACCTGACTCAATCATGGTGCTTAGATCATAATAATATATTATACAATGTTACACCTCTAGGTAGCTCATTCCCCGGCACGAACCAATGCAATATTATTTCTAATACTGAGGCCGTTGAGCTTCCATCTACATCATCTGCTGTACCGCAGCAGGACAGCAATGGCAGCACAACTACCTCAACTGTGATAAATTTCTCTTGTACGTCAGCTCCTGCCAAAGTATCACCAGACAATGCAACAGTTGGTGCTACTATTTCCATCATGGCGCCACCCTCCATTGGGGTGGTCTCTTCATGTGAACCTGACAAGCCTTTCGATTCTACAGATTCTGAGCCACTTGCTGCTGAGACTTTGCCCCGTCAAGCTATTCATGGTGACAAGACATCTGTAGCATTGAGCCTGCCTTGTTCCACAACATCCTCATCTACATTATTGACATCATCTGCACCTTTGGAATCGCCATCAGCTGCAACATCCACTTGGAGCATGCCCATCACCTCAACTACTTTTGGTGAAAAAGGTCATTCAAGTGATTATCCCCCCTTGTTTGTTTCAGCATCAGAAGTTACGAATGCAAGCACTATTAACAAAGCCTGTTATTTATCACCAAGGGTACTCACAAATTTCAATTCTGATGCTGCAAGCAACCGTGCAAATTGCCAAGCTGATTTATTTATAACTACTGATATTAATGGTTGTGAACTGAATAAGGGCCTTAATGATGCCAGCCCTGCCTTACTTGCAACAGAAACAAGTCCAGCAATCGATCACAGTCATCCCAATCATTGTTCTTGTATTAACCATCCATGTGTTCATCATTCAGATGCTCAAATTATCTCTGCTGATCAAAAACATATTCATGCAATATATAACAATGTTTCTCACAACAATGCCGAGAGCAGCAGCAACAGTGCTAAAATTACGTCTGGAAAAGCTAAGTCCCATATCAATGGTCACGTAAAGCAAGATATCAAATACAGCGTAGCGCAACGCACAATAAATGAATTCTGTAACCAAGACAAAACCGAGTCTAAAGGGCATGCAAAAGCTAAATGTCAATTATCTTCGGACGGTCCAGCTATCATCATGAATTCTTTAAGCCAAGAATTAAGTGACCTGGACATAGATCTCATAGTGCCTCAGGCAGATACTCCAGATACATTCCATTCTTTTGAAGATTCCACGAGATCTGGTGCAAACACAAGAAAAGATAATCAACACAAAAAAACAACAGTTAGATTATCGGCTCCTGCAAACAGTGAATGGCCTAAGGGTCAACAAACTACCACCGTCGATTGGCCTGACGTTCAACAAACTGGGAATAGTGAACGCCTCAACTGTCAGCAGTTCACACTCCATGAGCAAAGAAAACCTGTTCACAAAGGTTTTGATAAGATCTCTGTTGACAAAGGTTTTGAAAAGATCTCTGTTGACAAAGGTTTTGATAAGATCTCTGTTGATAAAGATGAAACGGGCTCTGCAAATGTTACCACAGATAATTATAATGCTACAGCAGCTGCTGAAGACATCCATGTCATCAAGTTTTCTTTTAACACAGATGAACCGGGCGTGAAATGTAAAGAAGCCAAAGAACCTAGTCCACCTGATAATAAAAAAGAATCTAGTCCTACTGATAGTAAAAAAGAATGTAATCCACCTGATAGTAAAAAAGAATTACCTAATGAAAACACAGAGAACAGATTAACCTTTGACCTAACAAGGGTCAAGTCTCCACTTGAGACTCAACAGAGAAACACAGAATTAGAAATTGGGGTTTGGAAGTCCAGTGAAAAGAGGATTTATGATAAACATCAGGCAGCAGACTCACATAGAGAGAAAATCACAAGTCTTGATCACAGCAGCTACAATGAGATGACAGAAACGAACCATTCCCTCTGTCAGCCTACATTCTCATGTGTGACAACCGGCAGCTTGACTTCAATTAGCTTGGACGAAGACAGGGATCCGCAGACCTTTGTTGGCCCCAGTCCTTGCCTCATAATGCAAGCCCTCACCATGTCCAACGCCAATGATTTCTTCAGCTTAGAAAGACTTGAGACTATTGGGGACTCATTCCTGAAGTATGCCATCACAGTCTACCTGTACTGTAGTTATCCTGGTATCCACGAAGGCAAACTCAGCTACCTGCGGAGTAAACAGGTACATTTTTGTCTATCCATTGAAACAAACATCAGATGTTTTCCCATTAACAAATCAAAAGCATAATTAAATTAGTATTAAAGTCATGCCATCCATTTCAAGAAGCTTTGAATACTATAGGTCATCGTTAATGGCTTAGATGTTTTGCAATCTAATTCATCAGAACTTTCAAATGGACATGTTCAGTGTGTAACATTTTCATTATATATTTGCATACTTATGGTTGAAACATTGCCATATTTGCACTAATTTGCAGTAGTTGATGGGGGCCTTCAAAGTATAGAAAAAATTGTGTTATTGTTATTGTTTCTGCTTGTTGTTTATTTGATCTTAGTTTTATTGAAGAAAGGGGTAGTGTATAAATTTGGGAAAAATGTAAGTAATTGAAAACAAAAATGACCGTCGGTGAAAAATAGTAATTATGTGAAGATATTTCTGCTTTACTGTTACAGGTTAGTAATTACAATCTTTATAGACTGGGACGTCGGAAAGGTCTTGCAGAATGCATGGTCTCCACTAAGTTTGAACCTTATGAGAACTGGCTCCCCCCTGGATATGTCATCAATGATGAAAGGAGGCGAGGACCCGTGCCGAAAGTTGTTATTGTCACGCCAGGATCCAAGATCAACAACTCTTTGCGCAACTTCTACCTAGATGAGACTGCTGATGCAGGTTTGTTGGACGAACATTTTTAACTTTTGTTTAAAAGATGAAATTAGTAAGTATGCTTGTACTAAGGCATGATCCACAGCATTTATGCTGGTGTATACATTAACTCTCAATGAATCCTGTAGACATATTTATGACAGAAGTATTTTCTTTCAGCAAAGCGCGATGAGGCTATACTGTTCAACAAGGAACTAGAGTGGATTCAACAGAGCCAGGAAGCTGACCAACAAGAGGAAGTTCAGGAACCAAACAACGATATGACTCCCTACAGCCTACAGTGTCACCACGGTCTACCTGACAAGAGCGTTGCAGACTGCGTGGAGGCTTTGATCGGCTGCTACTTAACAACATGCGGCCGGAAGGCGGCTTTGATATTCATGTCCTGGCTTGGTCTTAGAGTATTGCCAAAGAAAAAGAAGTTAATCTTGGATGTCAGTAAGATAGAGGAGCATGAGAAAAGTTCTGTGGGAAAGGTAATTTTAACTACAGTGTCACTTATCAATTGTGATATTTTATTGTATAAAAATCATTTTGCCATCTTTTAAAACAAAAATTAGTAATTTATAATGCTTTTGTAATATAAAACTGTTCAACTCTTGGCTTGCACTAAGTTAAAATTTTAAAAAAACTATCACATGTCAGAAACAATTCTCGATTGATGAAAAATACATTGTTAGACTTCAATAATAGTTTTTTTCAAAAGAATGAAATACTCTGTCACCAAATATCATTGAGATAATCTCAGATGCTTTGTATTGATAAACCCAATTTTTCAGCAAATATAATTGAGATAATCTCAGATGCTTTGTATTGATAAAACCAATTTTTCACCAAATATAATTGAGATAATCTCAGATGCTTTGTATTGATAAAACCAATTTTTCACCAAATATCATTGAGATAATCTCAGATGCTTTGTATTGATAAAACCAATTTTTCACCAAATATAATTGAGATAATCTCAGAGGCTTTGTATTCAAAGAACCATCAGTTTTATTTTTTATTGTAAATTTTAAAACAAGTTTTCATTGAAATTCTATAATTTTCAGCTATCTGAACAAGAATTTGATGAACTTCGTTGTCCGCCATCACCCATGTTCTCTAATACTCCAGCCAATGTGGCCAAACTGAACCATCTCCTGCAAGGCTTTGATTCTTTGGAAGAAAAAATCTGCTACAAGTTTAGAGATAGGTCATATCTTCTGCAAGCATTCACTCATGCTTCTTACCATTACAATACCATTACAGACTGCTACCAGAGGTAATTAAGTAGTTTGTCAGTTAACTGTGATTAACCCCATAACTGTCACAAGGGCTGATCAACTCTCTAAGGTGTACTCATTTTGTCATCAAATATTTTTCTAATGTTTACTCATATATCTCTCTAAAGTTTACTTGTATGTCTCTTGGTTTACTTATATATCTCTCTAATTTGTACTCGTATATCTCTCTAAAGTTTACTTGTATGTCTCTCGGTTTACTTATATGTCTCTCTAATTTGTACTCATATATTTTTCCTCATTTTCTGTTTCGGGTTGATCCTGAAGTGTCAAAGTGTCCTCGTTTTATAGTCATTTTCATTGTTTCTATAAAATAGTAGTTACTATCCTAGTGTCTCATTTGAATTTACTTAGTTTACATGTTTTAATAATTGTAAAGCGCTTAGAGCTTTATGATAAGCGCTATATAAAAATGCCTAAATAAATAAATAAATAAATATATCTCTCTAAAGTTTACTTGTATGTCTCTCGGTTTACTTATATATCTCTTTAATGTTTACTTGTATGTCTCTCGGTTTACTTATATATCTCTCTAATTTGTACTCATATATCTCTCTAATTTGTACTCATATATCTCTCTAATTTGTACTCATGTATCTCTCTAATGTTTACTCATATATCTCTCTAACTTGAACTCATAAATGTTCACTCACAAGATGATTAACCAGTACACAATAGAAATTTAGCTGCACACAAACATTTTAAAGACTGCTTTTGGGAGGGGATTTTCCCATGTACTGTTACATACAATAACCCATAACAACTATTACAAACAATAACCCATAACAACTATTACATACAATACCCTATAACAAATTATGCTACTCATCACACATTGTAAAATTATGAGTTTTGCTCTTAGTGTTAAGTTCTCATGGTTAAATAACGGAAGTGGATTCTTGTCTATATTTTGATTAGACGCCTTTTAATAGTTTATCTTCATTTCATATTTATATCCATTACATATTGATATCATCCTGCAATACATTGAACCGGTGTGTAATTACAGGGTTGAGTTTCTGGGCGATGCCATTCTGGACTATGTCATTACAAGACACCTGTATGAGGACTCTCAGAAGTACTCTCCTGGCATCTTGACCGACCTAAGGTCCGCTCTGGTCAACAATAACATCTTTGCTGCTCTGGCTGTAAAGTGGGGCTTCCACAAATATTTCAAAGCCATTTCTCCCTCCCTGTTCCAAGTCATTGACAAGTTTGTCAAACGTCAGAAGGAAAAGAAAGAGGATGATATTGATATTGATGAAGAAGTGAGCAACACTAGATGTAATATACATACATTATCCGTAGTTGCCAAACAAGATGATTGTTAATGACTATGTAATGTAATATACATATGTTAGCCGTAGTTGCCAAACAAGATGATTGTTAATGACTATGTAATGTAATATCCATGCATTAGCCATAGTTGCCAAACAAGATGATTGTTAATGACTATGTAATGTAATATACATATGTTAGCCGTAGTTGCCAAACAAGATGATTGTTAATGACTATGTAATGTAATATCCATACATTAGCCGCAGTTGCCAAATAAGATGCTTGTTTATGAATATGTGTCATGTATGACAATATTATTCTGTTAAGCGGTTTGGATTTATTTATTTTTATTTTTTTATTATAAAAAAATCCTTAAAAATATTTCCTATTTAAAAAATTACTTGTTTCATATTTTTTAAAAACTAAAAAGCAAGTATTTTTTTTTTTAAACAACTAAGAGATTGTTAAAACACGGAGAACTTTCTGAAGCCTTTTTTCTTAGCAAAGCAGTTTTGTTCACTATTTGTTGCTTTAATTCTTTAAAAAATTTCTTTATTCTTATTATACCTAGTAAAAAATAAATATTTTTACCAACAGTTTAGAGAGCTGTCGTTAGAAGAAAATGAACCTGAAGAGAACACAGAGGAGGATGACGAAGAGGAGGAGGAGGTAGAGATGGAAATTCCCAAAGCCCTGGGAGACATATTTGAATCCGTTGCTGGTGCTATTTACTTAGACAGTGGAATGTCACTGGACACAGTATGGAGAGTTTATTATAGGATGATGAAACCACATATAGGTGAGACCGATGTCAATCAAACACTAATTTAACTTCATACTTAAATTGGTCTAAACAAACAGATTCTGCAGCACTTTTTATATAGTAAAGTATGGTACCAAAAAACATAAAAATTGATGAATTGTTTTAACATGACATACTTCCCTCTATCTTTATAAAATTAAAATAGTATTATTTTTAAATTTGTGGAGCTCGTAAGTTTAATGAAGTCTGTTCTTACACTGTTGGATCTTCAATTTGATCTGTTCTGTTGGATCTTCATTTTAAACTGTTCTAACTGTTGGATCTTCATTTTTGTTCCATAGATAAATATCTTAAGAGCATTCCCAAGTCACCAGTGAGAGAACTGTTGGAAACTGAACCAGAGACAGCAAAATTTGAGTGAGTTGATTCCTAACTGAAAGTTTTAGTGATTTAAACTTCTCTCATAACCTTATAAGTTTGCTTAAGAAATTATGTTTAAAAAAACTAATAGATCGTAAAATTAGCTTTGCACAGCACGAGTCACTTTTAGTTATACATTATTTGTTATAAGGTCTGGTTATTTGGCCTTAATCTGTGTCTTAGAATATAATTATTTGCCTTTGTATGGTGGCACTAGTTTAGACAAGTAATGGATGTGTATTTGATGGCTTGTTTCAGGCGCCCAGAGAGGACAATGAATGGTAAAGTCAGAGTTACCGTCAATGTTGTAGGAAAAGGTGTCTTCAGCGGAGTAGGACGAAACTATAGGATTGCCAAAAGTGCTGCCGCAAAGAAGGCTCTTCGTTCTATTCGCACTTTGAATCAGAATTTAATGAATTAAACCTTTCATAAAATGTAATAAGGAAAAAGCACATATCAGAAACAATTCTCGTTTGATGAAAAATAATAACTTCAACAATAGTTTTTGCTCTATACTAAATTTAGTAAAAATGAATTAGTTAATGTCTAATTATTTTTTTTCTTGTTTAAAAAGATATGCTGAAAAATCACATTTAACAAAAAATGAAGCTGTTTATTTTAGATCGTTGGCCATGTTTTAGCATTTCTTGGCCAAATTTTTTAAAGAATTTATTCCAATTATCCTTTGTCAAGTCCAAGGTATTTAAAATATTTTATGAAATGAAAATGAACATAGGACGAAGCTGTCAGGATTTTTACAAAGCTTTCTTACTAAACCTGGCTTTATTTTCATCGTTTTTGGTAATTCTGGATTTATTCTGATACAGCCACCTAACTTAACTGGTCAGATTATAGACCATAACTTAAATGGTAAGGTTATAGCCTCTTGCCAGATGGCCCTGTACTTCCAACTTCAGCAAGCCTGTTGTTTGCCCTCTGTTCTCTGTCCAGTGTTCTTTACTCAGACTCAGGGTTGCTTCCTCCCCTAAGAATAGTTGCCTTACATTTCTTAACAGTCCAGTCTACCCCATTATTTTACCCACATTTTAGGGACCACCCCTGATAATAATGATATTTTTAAAAATGGTAATTAGGAGGACAACGGTGGCCAACCAGGATTTTTGTAAATACATAATCATTCAATTTTAAAAATCAACTTACCAACATAATTAATGTACTGGCATATCAGCAGTTGTGAAAATTGCAGTAGAAAGGGACACAGTACTTTAGAAAACCTTTTTCTCAAGTGAAATGTTAATTTTGTCAGTCACTACATGGTGTGGATTTAAATAGATGTGTCATTACAACTGGGGAGTCATAATTAATTTCTATTAGTACAGACTTTTTGGTACCGGGTATACAAATGACATATTAATTGTAATTTCTACTTGAAATAATGTTTTATGAGAAACTAAAGCATGGGCTCTGCTCCAGATATGCAACTGTTGTAACAGTCATTCATATAATATCCTCAGAATTTCTTCCTACTTCTCAAGCTATTTTTTTTTAAAATTATCCACATCTCATTTTGGATGTGATACTTACATATAATTCTATGCAACAATGCATGTAAGAGAGAATTAAAGTGGTTTGCCTGGAACTTGACCGGTAAGACAGGAATACTGAGTTGAGTGCCCTGATGTTGTGTTTTATAATATTACATTAATCAAATACTGCTCATGGTAATTCGGCAACGCTCAATTCCTAGAAACTCTTCTGCTCAACTACAAATAAACATTTTGGTCAATTTTGAATTTAACTTCTTTTCTTGCTGTCCGAGTTCTTATTTCTTTTCTGACTTAGCTTACAGGAGCGGCATTGGTGAAACTGATTCTTTATTTATTTATTGTTGCTTGGACTTGAATTCAGGCCTTTCGGCCATAGAGTGGGCAACCTGTATGAAAAAGTCAATTAAGAATATCTAAACATGTTTTCACACTGGATTGATTTACGTTTTACATTTTTATGATTTGTATTATAAATAAATATGTATCGCTGATAGAATCTTGCTAAAATATTTTACGACAAATTAACCTGAGGCAAAATAGAAGAAATATTTTTCAAACACCTTTTTTAAAATAGTAATTTTTTCTATGACAGCTTTTGACTTGTCTGCTTTTGCATTTTACTCACTGTTTATTCGTCTGGTTTCATATCTTATAATATGCTGACACATGAAGTTTGAGATTTGAAACCCAGCCTGGTGCAATAAGTCTTTTCCTTGCTGTAACTTCATGTCAAAAATTTGTCATTTAAAACTAGGAGCTTCAGAAGAACTGTACCAAAATACTTACTCTTATAAAGTTGCTTGCTGAGCTCTAGTCAATATTGCTTTTTAAATTAGAATTAATGTTGCATTGTCTTTTTACTTTGCTTATCTTATAATGGTTGTTATTGTTCAAACTGTCAGTCCTAATTTATTATTGATAATGATCTGTTAAACAGCATTGATTTTATTCAACAAAAAACTTTTAAACTAAATATCTAGATTGATTTATTAATTCATGGGTACAAGTAGTTTGTAAAAGCGCAAGTTAGTTTTGGAGAGGGTCTATGATTATATCAATTTAATTGACATGATAAAAAGGTTGGAAAATATTTTAAAAGCGTCTCGAGAAACTCAGCAAGTCTAAACTGTGGCAAAGTTGTTACAAAAATACTTGCTTAGAAGCTTTTGAATAAAATGCGCAAAAAAAAAAATATGTTGTTTAAAACATAGAAGAAACGGTTAATAAAATGTAATGCAATAATTTAGAAAATGTTGTTTTAGAATAATCCAACTTAAACATGGCTGTGAGATTATATAAAGACTGAATGTGTTGAACTTGAACTAGCTTGAAGACTAAAGATCAACCTATACCAAAAAATCCAGATTTAATTAGAGCACCAATTGAAACTTTGTATTCATTATTTTATAACTATTGATTGGTTGCCAAATTTTAATGAATTTTTACTTTGGCCAAAGTACCAGTAATATCCTAACAAAATTTTAACTAGTTTTTTGTCCCAATTTATTTGTGCAAATCTGTATGTTTCAAATATCTATCCATTGACACATACTTTCTTTTACTTTTAGGGTGTTAAATGAGGAATGACTTAATTATTTCACAAAATAAAAATATTTACATATTCCTCATTTCATTATAGTTAACTCCAAATTTAAGGCTGTCATATGGTAGAACATGGATGCCAAATTTTACTAGTGAAAAGGAGATATCTAACAAAACATTAACCTTTGTGAGATACAAATGATTATTAAATTTTAATGAATTATTAATGAGGGTTATAATGATATGTATCTTATTTTGTTAACAAGAAATGTAAAACCACTTCTTTTATATTCATATTTTGTGATTAGAGTCTGACAGAATTTCTTAAATTTCAGACTAGTGAAGAAAAACTCAATCAAAATAATTTGCATTAGTTAGTGATATGAATATAAAAATGTAATAAAAAATTGTGAAGAAAGCAAAAATTAAATTATTTACATTGAAATTAATTTCTTTCTTCTTGTTTGTGTTGTAACTAATTGGAAAACAGTAATAATCAGAATATCCCAGAATGAGCTGACTGGTGCTGGAAATGATCAGAATATTCCAGAATGAGCTGACTGGTGCTGGAAATGATCAGAATATTCCAGAATGAGCTGACTGGTGCTGGAAATGATCAGAATATTCCAGAATGAGCTGACTGGTGCTGGAAATGATCAGAATATTCAAGAATGAGTTGACTGGTGCTGGAAATATTTTCTCACAAAATGCTTTTAGAATATTTAACTTTTTCCTGTTGGCAGTGTCAAATAGAATCACATATTCACATTTTTTTTCTAAAAAACTTTAAAAAAGAATATTTGTGTATTAGTTGAACCATACAAGTGTGCCAGTAAAAAACCTTTGTCTATGATTTGATTCATACCAATGTGACAGAAAAGAATCTGCACTTATTTAAGAGACAGCTGATTATTAAAGTGCAAAGGTAGTTGCTGGCTTAAGTGTGTTCTTTTTTTACACAAGATATTCCCACTTCTCAAGAATGGCTGTTTTGAAGGGCTGAGGAGTTTTCCATTCCACCTTGCTATTTGCCTAAAAATAAAGGTGGCTATTTGCCTAAAAATAAAGGTGGCTATTTGCCTAAAAATAAAGGTGGCTATTTGCCTAAAAATAAAGGTGGCTATTTGCCTAAAAATAAAGGTGGCTATTTGCCTAAAAATAAAGGTGGAACTCACCCAAAAAAAAAAGTGGCCATTTTACATAAAAAAAAGGGGGCACATTTCCAAAAAAAAAAAGGGCACCCCCCCCCCCCCCCCCCACCCCTTATTTTTTTCGACACATTTGAACGCTCTACCAATGAGACAGATGCACTGACATCGTCACCTTGTTAATGCCATTCATAAATATAGGCCTACCTTTAAGTTTTAAGTGTATTCAGTGTGTCAGCATCAGATGCTGTTGGATAAGTTCTACTGGAAATAGGTTAAAGCATGTAATAGTCTAATAGTAGTAGTAGTAGCTGAACCAGGAAATAGTTTCAGGTATGTAGTAGACCATTGGTACTAGCTGCAGCTGAACCAGGACACAAAAACCAATCCTCTCTCTTAAACCCGGCTAAACAGACCCTAAAAATGTGGCTAGTTCAAGTCATGACGTGCATAAAATAACATGGTGACAATAGCATATGAAAGGGAAGTTTTTATTTAATTGCAATTTTTCCTTGTTGTTCAGAAATATTGTTAAATAATTCCCTAGATATAATTATTGAACAGCCAGTCATTATCTATTTTGCTAATATATATTTTTATATGTCTTGCAATATTTAAAAATACGTTTTTTCCCATTCCGAAATAATCACTGTTTAATGTTTCTGTGTACTATCTTTCGTTTTTACTCTCTGTATACTTTAAGTCAAACTGTATGTTGGCTGCGACCTGTATTTATGTACATTTTAGTAAGGGGCCGTCCATTAATTAAGTCGACAATTTTAAACCAAGTTTTGCCCCACACCCTGTCAACAACTGTCAAACTTTTAGTGACCCTCATCCCCTTAGTAATTATGACAACGTTTGTATACCCCCCACATATACAATTATAATATAAATAAATTCATAATGCAGAATCAATATAAAAAAAAAGTTGTTAAATACTAAATATCATTGTTTGTGGAAGTAGAAATATGATTATTGTCAGTATAGCTGACAATTGTAGCATAGTTTCTAGTTACTATCATCTTCCCAGGGAGTAGCCAGGTGTTGCTCTATCGTAACAATGAGCATAGTAGCTGAATTATCATTTTCAACTTGCGGAACTAATTTACCAGACAAGTCAACATCATTCTCATCATCATCATCATCATCATTCAGCAATTAAAATGGAAGCACTTGCAGTGTGAGCAATAATTAACACAAGCTACCTCTGTTTCCTGACAGCTGCTCGCATTGATCGGATGGTATTTGTTAAGAAGCAGGTGCTAATTTCTTATGCTCAAGCATGGGCGCCTGCAGAAAACTTTCTAGAAGGGGCAAAAAAAATCGATAAACTTTCCAGGGGGGGGGGGTGCAAATTTTTTTTAGTAATGTTTTAATGTAGTTTTAATTTACTATAGCGTATTTGTATGGTGAACGAACGGACAGGACATCAGCTTAGTTACTTTCTCTTTATTTTTCTCTTTAATTTAATACATTTTTTGTCTAAAAAAATGTTATCGAATAAATACCCCCCCCCTTAAGTGTCCCCCCCCCCTTGCCCCTACCTGCGGGCGCCCATGTGCTCAAGAGTGCATTGTCGGTGCTGTTGAACTTGCTTTTTCAACATGGCTTGTGATGCAAAATAGATGTTACAGATTTTGCAAATCTGTTCAAGCAGCGATGTTATTATTGTTACTTTACTTTCCCCTAATTCTTAAAATATCGTATTCCTACTCTTATCAATACCATTTATCTTGACCGCACATGACTCTTGAACCTTGCCCCTGTTCCATAACCGCAACATCAACGCAAACATACCGCTCTACTCATTTGTGACAAATAGAATCTGCAGTCGAAGAGAGGCCAATTTTTTACCTCTCTTGCACTAACAAAGTGTGCTAACCTTCTCACCAGCAATCAGCAGTAGGCCTACACAGACACACACATTAAATAAAAAGTATAGATATATAACTATTTTTATTTAGAGGCCTACACTCATTAAATTTGTTAAAATAATGTAATAATATAAATAAACAGTCAATTTTTATGATTAAAATTTTAATAGAGAAAACATGATTGTTGACGTCAACTGATCTAAGCCCCCTCACCCCCTCCCCCTTGTCAACAGTTGTCAAAGATATCCAAACACCTTCCCCCTTATTTTGTTGACATAATTAAGTCTAATGGCAATGGACGACCACTAAGAGTAAGATTAACTGTAAGTGTAAGGGAGGCGCGACAAACTTCTAGTCATCAAAGTAATCCCAGCTGTTTAAAAAAACGGTGTCTGCACTAGAGCCATTAAAAAAAAAATATATATGGCTTCAGTCTTTTCACTAATAGAATTTAATACGCGAATTGTGATGCATCTATTTAAATTCAGTTAGAAAAAAATAACTAAGATGCGAAATAAAAATTTAAGTTTCATTGGAGTGGGCTGCCCTTGGAAGTGTCTACATCATGAATTGATAAAAAAAAAGACGGGTCCTACAACTGTTTTGATTTTTCAACAAGCATAACAACATATGTTGTCATTTTAAACGCGCAATGGCGTTGTGTAGAGCTCATGGGAAACTTTTGCGCACGCACCATTATTTGAGAACTTTTATATCTCTCTACCATTCAGAAACAGGCGTCTATGGTTACAACCCTCGATGTCGAGGAAATGTTGCTTCTAAACAATCACAGTCACATTCGTGTAGGCCTATTGAAACTCACTATTACTTTATTTTAATAATTAATCCAACAGCAGGCATTATTATGTTTTAGCGGTTCTAAATTTAAAACTTGCCATATGCCGATCTCCTTATTGTCATATTTTAGTTATATTCAATTCATTGGAGTCAACAATATGAACAGTCTCAGTCAAGTCATGAGTCATACTCTATAGTTATAGTCATAAGTAAATGATTATGATAAATGATAGTCTCATAGTCATAGTATTCATGGTCTTTGAATAGTACCCTTCCTTTGGCTTTCTCTCAAACAAAATTACATTTTAAATTGTTTAAGAAAGAAACAGAACCTACTAGAACCTAGCAATTTAAAATTGAACTTTGAAGGCACCAATGCCCAATATTTATTTTTTAATTCGGGGAAAGCTAACATTAATCATTAAATAGGCCTGCCTACTAATAAATAGTAGGCTCTATCAGGTTTGTAAAATTTTCAAAACAAGACTTAATTAGTTAAAATTTGAAATGAAAAACCTCAAGCAGGCCCACACTTATGAAATTCTGGGCCCCAGGCAGCTGACACGAGTTCGGGTCCCCTTTCTTGTTTCAAACATTTGCGTATATTTTTAAAACTTGAAAAAGGGCGGGCTCTTATCTAGCTAGGGCTGCTGACAAGTTCCATGGTTGTTCCCCCCTAGGTGTGGGCCTGCCTTAAGGATAGATGAAACTTTTTATTTTCCATGTTTTACAGTTTCAGTTCAAACAACAATTGAACAATGTTCTTTTTGTTTCAGAAAGCAAACATGCCAACCTGTACTGTTTGCTAGTACTTTGTATAGTTTTTATATATTTACAAGTTTTACAACCTTACAAGCTTTTGTAAAGTTTTTAACTGGATTTAGAAAAGAAATATTTTTGCACATCACACACATTCAAAATTTGTGGTTAAATAAAGGCTGCGACTATTCAGACCCGGTATCAGAGGTGAGAGGTTGGGTTTATTAAAAAATATAAAAATATTATTGTTGGGTTTGTAAGATAAAATTTAGTATTGAATGAAAGATAATTGAATGGACTATATGTTTGTAAACCTAATACTTCAGTTTAACTAAAATAAACAACCACAAATCACATCCGTATAGCATTTAGTCTAATGGGACCCGGGTCTGAATAGCGGCGATGCATGTCTGGTTCAATTTTGATTAAATGCTATTCCGATGTCATTTGTGGTAGTTTATTTTAGTTAAATAGAAGAATTAAGTTTACAAACATATAGTCCATTCAATTATCTTTCATTTGATACCAAAATTTATCTCACAAACCCAACAATAATATTTTAAACATTTTTTTAATCCCAACCTCTCACTTCTGGTAGCAAGATTCCAATCGCTACTTTGTTAAATAAATTCATCTTTGGACACCAAGAAGCTCAAATCATATTTATTTTAGTTCATAATGACCAAGTTGAGGGTCAGTAGGCCATCTAAATTTGGAAACAGCACAATTTCACTGAGATCGATTTTTAATACAAATACAGCTTAGTACGATTAGTTACTACTTTGATTAGTAAACCATAATTACAAATCTGTTTGTGTAATACTTAACAAAAACAGCAGTATTCAGAAGTGTTCTTTTAATTTATGTTAAATAATTCAACATATTTAATATTAATATCAATCCAGGATAAGAATTAGTCATTATTCCTATTTATTACAAGGGCAGGGTTAATCCCTCTGATACAATGAAAAATAAAGTTATAAGTATAAGTATAAGATGAAGGTAAAACGAACAACTTTTTGAAGACATTATCCATACATGAAAACCTGCGGCGGCATGAAAATCTTTACAAAAAGTCCCCAAACATATATATCTTTTTTCATTTCATTATTAATGTTTTGAATGCATGCAAACTTTGTCCTCTTTATTAGTTTAAAAACTTAGAAATAATTACATATATAGTATGCATTAATAACAATTATGCATGTTTTAGGAAATAATATGCAATTTAGTGACATTAAATTCATCACAGATTTTAGCATCTTATCTTATTTGTGTAAAAGTTACTCAGACTTAAATGTTTTTAAAAATTTAATTATAAAACTTGTTAATTATACTTTTCACACTGGTACTAATCTCCTTCTCAAAAATTGTTCATTATACTTTTTACACTGCTACTAATCTCCATTTCATTTAAATAAATACATTTTTAATTTTATTGTAGACACATCTGAAGAACTTTTGAATCGACTCAAGTATGCAAATGTTGTTCAGCTTATTGATGCATACCAAAGAAATGGTCATCTAAAGGCAGCATTAGATCCTCTAGGACTTCAAAAGCAAAGGTTTCAAATATTTAGTATTTTATAAAAATCAGTATTTGCTTAAATGTAAAGTATCATTCACCACAAGATTATGGTCTGTTTATAATTAATAAAGTCAATTAAATAAAATTATGTCAACATTTTTATAAATGCAGTATTGTTAATGTAGTGAAATTGTGCATGAACTTAAAAAATGATTAATTTTTAATAATTATTTTGCTTGATTTTGTTACAAGTTCATTCAAAAATATCATAAGAATGCATCTCAATACCTATAAGTGAAATATTTAACTGCTTCTAAATAAATTATTTTGCTTTTTAGGTTATCATCGATACCACTTTTTTTTTTTTTTTCACATCAGTAAAAACTATTTTTATCAATCCATTAATGATTATTGTAGTTTTATATTGACAATGAAATAATTATTATTTTAACTTCAGTAATTTACCAGAGCTTGATTTGAGCTTATTTGGTGTTGAGAAAATGGGAAATCTTGAACTCAAAACCTTGGGTTTATTATCAGGAGCTAGGGAGAAGATCTCCATCTCTGACTTAGTTCAGAGGTTAGAAAAGCTTTACTGTGGCCCTCTTGCAGCAGAGTTTCAGCATTTACCTGTAAGTTGATTATTATTAGTTCCCCAAGTTTTATAATTTTTGAAAATTGTTTTAGTATTGTTATGTAGTATCAATAAATTATAGAAAATTATTTATGAATGAGCATCATTAAGACATTCATGCACAATATATTATTTATTTCTCTTTCAGACGCTAGAGGAACGTCTATGGTTTGCAGAAAAGTTTGAGACTAGAGATCAGGCTCAGATTACAGATTTAAAAAAGAAAGAATTGGCAAAACTTTTGCTAAGATGTGAGGTTGGTCATTGCTATTAACATCAAAAAAGTTATGACCTTTTTTTCATGGAGGTTGGTCGTTGCTATTAACTCTGCTAGTACCCACCTTTTTGCTATGCAGAGCCTCAGTACCAGCTATTATTTTGCTAATTATTCCCTGTGGCATAGACATTATTTTGGAAATAACCAAAATTTGATAGGTTTGGAAATTATTTTGTAATTTTTTTTGTTTTCAACAATTTATAATAACATGTAGAGAATTATCTGTTCAGAACTGGATAAGGGTGTTAAAAATACTAATGTGTGACTAAGGAACTTTGTAAATGTTGCTTCTCTGGCCCTATGCACAAATTGGTACAACAGGGACAATTTGTTTTTAAGTGTCTTGTTTCTTATATTTGTAGATGTTGCTGTGGATGACAACAAATACAAATCCGCACAAAAAACTGAGTAATTGGTCGATATCATAATTTAAAAGGCAAAATATTATTCGACTATTCCCCTAACGAATAAACATTCTACCCGAGACTGGTGAAAGGTTATATCCTCGTTTTTGTGTTTATATTAGATACCCCTCTATGTGGCAAATAGACGCGCTTGGGCCATAGGGAAAAAAAATTGTCTGGTGAAAAATGATGCACTTGGGCCACAGGGAAATAAGTAGGTCACTGCAAAGATACGCCTTTGGTGCTGTAAGGGTTAACATCTAAAACATCTTATTACATTTTTCCTGGAGGTTGGTCATTGCTATTTACATCTAACAATTATTACATTTTTCATGGAGGTTGGTCATTGCTATTTACATCTGACAATTATTACATTTTTCCTGGAGATTGGTCATTGCTATTTACATCTAACAATTATTACATTTTTCCTGGAGGTTGGTCATTGCTATTTACATCTGACAATTATTACATTTTTCCTGGAGGTTGGTCATTGCTATTTACATCTGACAATTATTACATTTTTCCTGGAGGTTGGTCATTGCTATTTACATCTAACAATTATTACATTTTTCATGGAGGTTGGTCATTGCTATTTACATCTGACAATTATTACATTTTTCCTGGAGGTTGGTCATTGCTATTTACATCTAACAATTATTACATTTTTCATGGAGGTTGGTCATTGCTATTTACATCTGACAATTATTACATTTTTCCTGGAGGTTGGTCATTGCTATTTACATCTGACAATTATTACATTTTTCCTGGAGGTTGGTCATTGCTATTTACATCTGACAATTATTATATTTTTCCTGGAGATTGGTCATTGCTATTTACATCTAACAATTATTACATTTTTCATGGAGGTTGGTCATTGCTATTTACATCTAACAATTATTAGTACTGGAGTTATGAAAAAGAATTAAAAAATGACCCAATAAATACTATGGATTTGACGCAGTGCTTTAACTATGTATCAACATTACCTGTTTTATTTCAGGCATTCGATCACTTTGTAGCAACAAAATTTTCAAATGTTAAGCGTTATGGTGGTGAAGGAGGTGAGAGTATGATGGCTTGTTTTGATGAAGTTTTTAGGAAATGTGCTGAACGTGAGTATGTTAATAATTAATAAGTAGTTTCATTTTGGGTTAGGACTTGGTTAAGAGTTAGGGTTAGGGTTGATCAATCAAATTTTCTTTTAATTTAATTATTTTGATACATTTAATTAATTTTAATGGTTTATTAATATAAATACTGCTGTTGGAGTTGAGTCAAATAATTACAAGTGTAACTTTTTGACTCGCTGTGTAATGCCACCCTCTAAATCTTCTTTTTTAATAAATATAGCATTGTATTATATTAATTGTCATAAAATTAAAATTAAAAATGCAGATATAGTGTTTTGAGAAAAATACTTGCTATTTTCATTCTATAGATGATGTCAAAGATGTTGTGATTTGTATGCCACACAGAGGTCGCCTCAACTTCATGACTTGCCTGCTCAACTTTCCTCCAGTGATCATGTTCAGGAAAGTGAGTCAGTTGCAGTAAATTTTAGAGTTACATTTTAAAAAAATAATCACTGTAAAAACTGAAGTTAACTATACAAGCTCAAAGTTTAGCTAAAATATTTTGCCAATTTATGAAATGTCATCCAGAAAAAAATCATTTGCTACTTATTGACATAAAAAATCAAAAGACCTAGTTATCTACATTTGAGATACCACAATATTTATTTTCTTTCATTTCTCTTAGAGTTAATGTTTTTTTTCAAAGCTTCATACAAACATTTTCTAACACTACACCCTATTCACAGATGTCCAGATCCTATATTCTAATCCAGCATGTCCAGATCATACAATATAATCAAGTATGTCCAGATCCTACATTCTAATCAAGCATGTCCAGATCCTCCAATCTAATCAAGCATGTCCAGATCATACAATATAATCAAGCATGTCCAGATCCTACAATATAATCCAGCATGTCCAGATCATACAATATAATCAAGCATGTCCAGATCCTACAATATAATCCAGCATGTCCAGATCATACAATATAATCAAGCATGTCCAGATCCTACATTCTAATCAAGCATGTCCAGATCCTACATTCTAATCAAGCATGTCCAGATCCTACATTCTAATCAAGCATGTCCAGATCCTACAATCTAATCAAACATGTCCAGATCATACATTCTAATCAAGCATGTCCAAATCCAGTAAAATATAGCAACACATACATTTTTAAAAAAAGATAATTTGCTTAGACGATTGTTTTATCCACGCAATTTGCTTTGAAATTATGAATGCAATCTATTGAAATAGATGAAGGGACTTTCTGAGATTCCTGCTGGTGCTAAAAGCATCGGTGATGTTCTTTCCCATCTTTGTAAGTTAGTTACAGCATCAAGAAACATATTATACCGTTATTTAATTGTCAAATAAATCAGAGGCTTTAGTTTATTTTAAATGGTTTAATCTAGAATGTTCATATGTTTTTAGCATTTGGTTTTAGCCATTTAATCCTATATTGATTTTGAAATCTAAAGGGTTTTTAATTATTCTATCTCTGCGGTTAATCTTAAAAAAATATATTATGTTATTATCAAGGAAATATTATGATCGACAGATACCTCTGTTGATCTGCCTTATGAAGGGAAGCAAGTCCATGTTTCTCTGATTCCTAATCCATCTCATTTAGAGGTATAAAGCTGTGTGTTTATGTCATAACAGAACATTGACAATTTTCTTATGAAAATAAACATTTACTAATTAGGAGAGAGAAACTTACTTTGATATTTAACCAATAGACATAATTAAATAAAACAAATCTAAGCAATTTTTCATATAATATGCTGCTAATTTGAATACATTATTATAGGTGCATCTTGAAGCAGCCATCTTAAATATTATATAAATATGATGTAGGCAAATAACCCGGTAGCTGTTGGAAAAGCTCGATCCAAACTTCAGACAAGGAAATCTGGCGACTACAGCACCAGTGACAATGCCATGCCTGGTGACGGGGTCTTGTGTTTACAAGTACACGGTGATGCAAGCTTTGTTGGTCAGGTAATTGATCTTTCCATTAAAAAACAGGACCAGGTAAATTCCATGAAATACAGAAATTTGGTCTTTTACGGTCTACTAACCCTGATAGACATATAAATATATATTAATATTTTATATTTTTTCATGATCTATTAAAAAAAAATGACGAGTTGAATTAATTTATACAAATTGCTCGTTTAATTTGCTTAAAATATCCCCAGGGTGTTGTGGCCGAAACATTCTGTTTTGCAAACACGCCTCATTTTGAAACTGGTGGAAGTGTGCATCTTATAGTCAATAATCAAGTTGGCTTCACTACAGAATCTGAAAGGGGAAGGTAACTTCACAATCATAAAACTTAATTGTTTTTATAAGATGGTTATGGTCATACAAATTAATGATTTCCATTATTCATTAATTTAAAAATATATATAATTATTTAATGGAATTAGTGAGTAGTATTTCTGAGAAAAAAATAAATGTATGCTTCCGTTTGCAAGACAAAAACCATTAATTTAATGAATTTGTTTATTTGCATATATAGAAAGCGTATTTTATATTGACACATATATAAAGTGTATTTTAAATTGGCACATAAGAGGAATTCTCACTAGCATTCATTAAAGACGTGTTGTTTTAAAATCAGGTCGTCACGCTACTGCAGTGATCTAGCTAAAATAAATGGCTACCCAGTGATACACGTCAATGGAGATTATCCAGAAGTAAGGATTTGATGCATTTAAAACATCTTCATTATTGTTCACTTAATAAGCATTTGATCAAATGGTTTGTCAAGCAATGAGTCCACACTTAAGAAACATTTGATCAAATGGTTTGTCAAACAATGAGTCCACACTTAATAAGCACTTGATCAAATGGTTTGTCAAACAATGAGTCCACACTTAACAAAACATTTAATCAAATGGTTTGTCTAACAATGCGTCCGCTCTAGCAGCAACTGGCCACAGTGTTTGGACATTTAGATTTTCTTTCTCCCATCAGGAACATTTTAATCTTCCACTTTAATTATGTTGTGAGAGACTTTCATTGATCACTTTACCAGCGGTGGCATCACTAGGCGTGGTTGGTGTTAGATTTAATTAGCGGTGGCATCACTAGGCTTGGTTGTTGGCCCCAGCCATGGACTGCATCCAGAAAAAGATGAAAAAAATCTTGAGTAATGTAAAGATATTTTACAAGGAGTAAATTTAGGGGATTACCCTTCTGATATTGTCACCCATATCTACCCAAACGCACCTAGTGATGGCCCAGATCTACCCAAACACACCTAGTGATGGCCCAGATCTACCCAAACACACCTAGTGATGGCCCAGATCTACCCAAACACACCTAGTGATGGCCCAGATCTACCCAAACCCATGTAGTGATGGCCCAGATCTACTTAACACACCTAGTGATGGCCCAGATCTACCAAAACCCACCAAGTGATGGCCCAGATTTACCCAAACCCACCTAGTGATGTCCCAGATCTACCCAAACCCATGTAGAGATGTCCCAGATTTACCCAAACCCACCTAGTGATGGCACATTGTAACTCTGTTTTTACCTACAGGTCATGGAATGTTGTTTCCTAACAATATCATGAAATTGTATTGTAGGATGTTATACGAGGAACCTCTATAGCATTAGAATATCGCCAAAGATTTAGAAGAGATGTCATCATTGACTACATTTGTTATCGCAAGTGGGGACACAATGAAATAGACGAGCCGGCTTTCACTCAGCCAAAAATGTATCAAGTTATCAATAGCAGGAAAAGTATTCCAGATCTTTACTCGCAGTCCATCGTTGTGAGTCATCGTTTTCTCCTTGGCATGCACTTTTCTTCTAAAAGCATTTTTTTAAAAATATATTTTTAGCGTTCAAATTACCAGACCCTCTAAAGTAGTGTTTCTCAACCTTTCTGTTGCCGTGATACTTAATACAGTTCCTCATGTTGTGGTGACACCCCCCCCCCCCAACCATAAATAAACAGGTTGAGAACTGCTACTCTAAAGGGTAATTAAACATTGTTTCCAGTTAATACAATTTATTGTAAAAATATCAAAAGAAATTTTCAACTTATCATTTTTTGCTTACCATGTTATAGAATAAAACTATTATTAGTCCCTATAAAGTATTCTGTTTTTATCTACTGGACTATGCAGTACTTAGTGTTGTGTTCAAATTTATAAAGTAAAAAAGTGAGTTTGAAAATGCACAAATTATGCCTCAGAAATCTGGAGTTTGTGATGATGAAAGTTTAAAAGAATCTGTAAAATCCTGGAACAGTTACTTGGAAGAACACCTGAACCAGATAGCTACACATGAAACCAAAGTAAGACACATCTCATTTATAAACTTGTTTGATCTCATTTATAGACTTTTTTGATCTCATTTATGGACTTGTTTGATCTCATTTATAGACTTGTTTGATATCATTTATAGACATGTTTGATGTTAGGAAAAATAATGATTCTACCTCAGTTATCTATTTATTACTTATTGTTAACTTTTTTAATCTATATATATAATTCGTCAGCAAAGGTCAAACACCACCACCACCAAGCAGGCTATATATAGATACGCCAGAGTGTGGTTCAATAATGAGTTCACTAGCGCACAAAATATAATTCCCGATAACTACGCTAAAGGATATATATTTTTAATAATGCAATAGCGTTTGATGCGTAATATTTTCTTTTCGGAAATGAAATCATCTCAATTTAAGTATTGTGTAAAAAAATATTGGGTTTTAAAGTGGTTGGGACATGAGAATATTAATATAGTGGGAGTGAAATAAAAAGTGTGCAGTGACGTATCATGGGGAAGGGGTGTAGCAAATATTGGGATTCTTAAATGTGCGTTACTTGAGTTCATGTTTTGTGAAGTAACTTTACTAGATGGGAAGTTCACGCATTGCTGTCGCCAGTGCTTTTTTTGTGCCGGTACGCACCGGTACGGCGTACCGGCACTTTTTTCAATGTGGGGGAAAAAATATTACTTTTCTTGTATTTTAACTTTTATTATTAAATAATACGGTATACTAATAAAGTAATAATAAAACAATTAAGTTGGTTAATTATAAAATAAAATTGTTTTAGACATTTAGTATCTTTTCATTTGTGATTTAGCTTGCATCGAGGTGCGAACTGGTAGTTAAAAGTTAGGCAATCCATCACTGAGTACTGGCACCTATTTTTTTACAAAAGAAAGCACTGGCTGTCGCCAATGTTTGGCGGGCTATATCTTGTTTACTATATTTTTGTCTGAGTTTTGTTTAAATCAAATAAATGTGCATTTGAAGTAGGAGTTTTGAAATAATTGTGTGTTTGAAGTTGGAGTCTTGATTTCCTATTCTGGAAGAAAGATAAAATAAAAATAAGCTATGCTGACCATAATGCCAAAGAAACGAAGTGATTTAAATACATTCAGATTCTTAAAAACAATGAAGTGATTTTCTTTATTATTTTACGGAAATCGAATAATTTTAAATTCGCAAAAAATAAAATATATCAAATTTTACCTTAGTTAATGTTTAAGAATTAGTATTAAAAATTACAAATGCATTTAAAATAACTATAAAGGAACTATTCTCAGTATTTTTTCTGAGTTTGAAAGTTGTGAAAAAAAAAATTAATAAAAAAATGATGATATAAGAATTGCAGCGTAATCACATTTATTGGGAAAACCCAAACATCCATTGTTTTTAGTGCATTATTAATATTGTTAAAATTAAATTAAAATTAATTTATTCTTAATAAACAAGCAAATGACATGTCATAGCCTTGAATTGCCTATTTTAGACACAAATCTAAGTTTCTTTGATCAAATAACCATGGGTGACAAAATTGATGATGTATTTTCTCCTTCTTAGAAGTAAAATTAACAAATATAATCGATTGCTTTTTAAATTGTTGATATAATGTAAAAAAAATTAGCTTTGTATTTTTAACATTTAATAAGTTTTTCCTTTTTTTTTTCATTCCAAAAATATACTTTTATTAAATTTATACCACAATAAAAACTTAACGTTTCAATATACCGGTACGGTGGAACCTCTCATAACGAGCATAATTCGTTCCAGAATCTTACTCGTAAAGCGAAACACATGTTTAACAAAACAATTTTTCCCATACAAATCAATGTAAAATACAATAATGCGTGCCATGCTGAAAAATACTCATTTTCTAAAAAAAAATTTTATTTACATTTATTCAAATAAAATTACTTATGAATTGTTAAGGAGTGTAACAACTTAGAATACAATTTTGATTTGAAACAAAAAACGAAAATAAAAATATGAATTTATGACAAATAATTAATCCTTTTTAACTAGAAAACTGTCTAAGACATTTGTTTTTGCAGACACTTCAAAATTTGACGGAAATGTGTCATAGCATTATCATTGAATAAATTTGTAGCACGAATAGCCACCTCCTTATTAGGGTGATGCTTCTCAATGTACGATGCAACAGTTTCCCCATGCTTTCAGCATTTCTCTTACTGCACTAGAAGATTGTTGCTCTGCTACTTCCTCCTCCATTAATGAGCTCTCCTCCATAATTTCTTGCTGTGAAACACGATGCAACTCCATAAGCTCTTCGGTGGTCAACTCTTGACTGTGCTCTTTCACAAGCTCTTCAATATCGTTGTTGTCCACCTCGAGTCCCATGATATTGGCCAATGACACAATCTTGTTAACTGTAGACTCTGCAGGTACTGTTTCAAAATCACATTCAACAACACTCTGTGGCCAAAGCAGAAGTGAGGGTTCTCTTGGTAACTCCTTCCCAAGCCTTGTCAATCATCTTGAGGCAAGCAAATATGTAAAAATGATATTTCCAAAACTCTCTAAGAGTGAGATATGTCTCTTCAGTAACTTCAAAACAACGCTCGAAGAGTGTTTTAGTGTAGAGTTTTTTAAAGTTAGAAATAACCTGCTGGTCCATAGGCTGGAGTAACAGAGTGGTTTTTGGAAGGCAGAAACTGGATATTGATGAAATTAAATTCTTAATGAATATCATCTTGTAGGCCTGGAGGATGAGTGGGCGCATTTTCCATAACAAACAAAACATGAAGAGGAAGTTTCATCTCAAGCAAATATTTTTTTTACGGAAGGACCAAACACTTGATTGATCCAATCAGTGAACATGTCACGTGTCACCCAGGCCTTCTTGGAGCTCCACATCACATTTAGTCTGCTCTTCTGGACATTACACTTCTTAGAGGCTCATGGAGTTTCTGGATGGTAAACAAGCAGCGGTTTAATTTTCAAATTGCCGTTTGCATTGGCACAAAATAGCAGCGTGAGGCAGTCTTTCATTGGCTTGTGGCCTGGCAATGCATTCCCTTCTGCTGTTATATAGGTTCACTTTGGCATTTTTCCAGAAGAGACCCGTCTCGCCACAATTAAAAACTTGTTGCGGCAGGTAACCCCCAAGATCTATGAGCTTCTTGAATTCACTGATGAAGTTCTCTGCTGCTTTTGTGTCAGAGCTTGCTGCTTCACCATGCCTACAACGCTGTGGATGCCGGTACTTCTCTTAAACTTCTCGAACCATCCATGACTTCCCTTGCTTTGTAGTTCTTTTTCGGCAGTAGATGATCCTGGTGTTTTCTTAACGAGGTCAGTGAAAATAAGTTTTGCCTTCTCACAAATAATGTTTTCGTTAATAGTGTCGCCTTGTAATCACTTCTGGTTTATCCATATTAGAAGCAACCTCTCAACATCTTCAAGAATATGTAATCGTTTCATAGACATTCTTGACACTCCCTTTGAAGCATCCATCTCCTTAACTCTTTCCCTCCGGAATTATTTTCCACGTTCTGACGGAATTATCTATTTTGGGTTTTTGTTACGCACCACTATGTTTTCTATAAACCTTCATAACTTTTTTGTTTTTAATCAGAAAATGTTAATTTTGGTATTAAATTAAAGGGAAATGCATGCTCTTTGCATGCAAGCAAGATTGGGTTTAATTTTTAATAAATAAATGTGATTGTGATTTAAGGAAAATACAAATTTATTAAAAAAAACTCACCAAATGTTCACAAAACGCTCATTCCAAGTCACACGAGGAGAAATACATAATCCAAAGTGTAACAAAAATGTTTTTTTCTGAACAATATCCATATGTGCATCACAAATAATAAAGATCAACTTTCAAAAAAGAAAAAATTAAACCTCAGAGCACATTATCCATTGTCACCGCCACACAAAAAATGTGCAAAAAAATTTAACTAATTCCACTGGAAACAATCTGTTGCTATTTAAAAAATAATTGAACTGTATCCTTGTATGTACTAACATTTATAATAGTAAATGGAAAATTTACTATACATTTGTCACATATTTCCATCTGGGTTTAGCTATAGTAAGCCTAAAAAATAATCCATATGGATGTGCGCTTTACCTGAGGGGCGGGGATGGTTGTTAGTAAGCTGATGAATTATCAATTTCATTATTTCGTCACTAGTAATACTAGTACTAGGATTATAATCATTTGATTCAACAGAATCAGCCTCTGCATTTGAAATCATAAAATCAGTGATTGAATCATCATCAGAGTAATATTTTCCACCTTTATTAGATCGATCACCAGATGGGTCAGGTCAAGATTTCATATTTGTAAACAAAAATAAAATGGACAATCAAAACAACCGCTTCAAACAATTCGTTCTTCGTTCAAACACAGTAAAACCGGATGTTTATAATAGGGAAATCATTCTAGAATTGATTTAAAATAACTAAATACCAATAGCTAAGAAAAGAACCGAAATAAACAAGTTTTTATACATCGACGATCCCATCGTCGATACACCAAAATCTTCATTTCAAATCGACGATGGGAGCGTTGATCCGGAGGGAAAGAGTTCATTTTGTTTTTGTTCTTAAGAATAGTGCAGATCGTTGATGTTGGCCGATTGTATGTGCGCGCTAGATTAGCCACGCTCACACCTTGTTCTCGCTTTTCAATGATTTTACGTTTCATTTCAACAGTTATTTTTTTCTCTCTCATGATTGTCTTCTTATGGTTTTTTCTTCGAAGACATTTTAGCACAGGTTATTACACTTTGCACATAAAAAAATTACGAATACTGTCTGAATACAAAATTTGAAAAACTGGTGATCACACACGAAAACAATACGCTAACAGACTAATGCATCGGTTCCGGATCACAAATGAATGTCGGGGAAAAAGGGACTTCCCCTTTCTGCGTAACTCGTTATGCAAAATGTGGCTCGTTAAGGGAGTAACTTCTTCCCTTTTTTTTTGCTCGTTATGCGAATTACTCGTTATGAGAGGTGCTTGTTATGAGAGGTTCCACTGTACTTTTAATAAGAAAATGCTGTTGAAGTCAATCAGTGCAATAAAACTCCATAGTCAAATAACATTGACTATTGCACTTATCACTCATCCAAATAACAAACCATATCAAGTGCAACAAACTGTGTTTCCTACAATCCAGTAGATGATTTAATTAAAATCTGGAGAGTGGGGAGTCGATACTTCCATTTTTCCTGAGGCCGTACAAGATGCACATTAAAATAAAGGAATGAATTTAATAAATAATTAACCTATATAGATACATATGTATCGGGATAGGAAATAGGGTGTGTACATTTTTACCTGGATGACAATATCTTTAAATCCTATGAAATTGGAGTTGGGAAAAAGAGATGTTACATTCTCTTTTTACAAATAAACATATGTTCACCATTAAGAAAATCAATGGTATTAACAAAACGTGGGAACATTACATAAGTGTCTCCATGAATATAAAAACCCAATCATTTTAAACACTTGAAAATTTAATTTGGAAAAATAGAGATGAGTTAATATTTTCTTTTTTTAAAAATGAAAATATATTTTTGTTTTTACTTTGCGAAAAGTAAAGTGGGTGTATAATGTAATGAGATTAATAATATTTCTGTAAAAAGGACACTCAAGGTTGTTACAGACAGGAAAAATGGTTAAGATATTCTTATTTCGATAAAAGAGTTCTTTTTTTTACAATTTTCTGATATTATAGTTAAATAACAAAGGCAATAGTTTGGTTAAATTTTTAAAGAAGATATCAGTATATCGAATTCCGTTAATATAAAATTTATTTAAAATGGTATATAGAGTTTTTGTTGTATATTTAAGATTAAGTTTTCACAATTTTTAGTGAAAATTAGCTTAGAGGCACAAAAAGTGGTAGTATGCCCAACATTTAACAATTTAAAAACACATGACATCTAAAGTATATCGCTAGAGGAGAAATCAGCTGTCAAAGAACTCCTTTACGGACAATAATGATTTAATTAGTTATCATTTAGATTTGGTAATTCAAGGTCATGTTTAAAGCAAACAAAATTGTAGTTGAGGGGCGCGAAAATGGTAGGGCAGGCGTATATTATATAGCAGAAAAATACTACTTAAAACTTTTAATGATGTTAGAAACCTAAACATCATTACATAGATACTTTTTTTTATAATACAGAATTGCGATGAGTTTTCGCAGTAGCAGGTTGAAAGTGCCTGTCATTGTTATCTTGACAACATCTGGTGATATTTTCTAGTTATGCATGATGACTAATAATAAACCAAAATAAAAAGTTTGTGAAATTTGAAATACATCACATGAAATATACTACATATTATATACTGTTAAGGACTTGAATGTATATTGTGATTGCGTGTTGTTTAGAGATTATGTGTGTTGTTTTATCTAATATGCTTTGTATCTTGTGAGGTATTGTGTGAAAGGGGATGTGAGTATTATTATTGTTGTGAGTAGTGTGGTCTTGTGAGTAATGGCAGTTGAGATCTAGTTAATAAAGATACTGTATTTTAATATTAATAATCAATTGTTTGTGAAGTGAATATAATTAACCCCTAGACAGAACGTAGCCATCGAACCTTTGGGTATTCAACCTGAATATTTTTTCATGTAATATTTCTTGCTTAACTTATACTAAGTCAATCTTTACTCTTCCTTACTCTATACTTAGTCACTTTCTTTTCCTACTTACTCTATTTTTTTTTCTCAACACCAAGATAGTCTACTTCTCCCTTCAAATGAGTTCGTCAAACATTATCACTTTTATCTAGCCTTTTCACCTGAATGGCCAGTGGTCATCTTTAGTCCAGGCAGGAGATCATACTACGACTTGGGATACAGGTGTACCTATAGATGTCCTCAAGTATGTTGGTGCCAAGTCTGTGTGTGTACCCAATCATTTGGTAGGCCACATGAACATTTATGTGTACATTTGTCATTGACAATGTCTGAAATAATTGTATCTAATTAATGAAAAGGATAATACTATGTGTCCATCTATTACTTTGTGTTAATGGCTTATATTATACAATTTTAACTTCTACTCAATTTCTACTTGAAAACTTACAGATTTATTTATCATTTTGTATTGTTTCAAACACTTTGCATTTACCAAATATTTGATTAGTTCGCCAGGTCAGTTTCATTTGATGTTATAAAATATTGGGCAAGATCACTAGACGTATGCCCATCCCATTGTCCATGATGGTAATTTGGGCAAGATCACCAGACTTATGCCCTTACCATTGTCCATGATTGTAATTTGGGCAAGATCTCCAGAGTAATGCCCATCCCAATGTCCATGATGATAATTTGGGCAAGATCACCAGACTTATGCCCTTAGCATTGTCCATGATGGTAATTTGGGCAAGATCTCCAGAGTAATGCCCATCCCATTGTCCATGATGATAATTTGGGCAAGATCACCAGACTTATGCCCTTAGCATTGTCCATGATGGTAATTTGGGCAAGATCTCCAGAGTAATGCCCATCCCATTGTCCATGATGATAATTTGGGCAAGATCACCAGACTTATGCCCTTAGCATTGTCCATTATGGTAATTTGGGAAAGATCTCCAGAATAATGCCCATCCCATTGTCCATGATGATAATTTGGGAAAGATCACCAGACTTATGCCCTTAGCATTGTCCATGATGGTAATTTGGGCAAGATCTCCAGAGTAATGTCCATCAAATTGTCCATGATCATTTGGGCAAGATCTCCAGAATAATGCCCATCCCATTGTCCATGATGATTATTTGGCTACAATACAATTTGAGACTTAAGTTAAATAAAAAATTTAAAAAATCATTTAAAAAGCTTGTGATTTTTAGAATATGACAATTAAAATTGTCATTCCAAATTTCTTATTCTAGAAAGTTCACCCAACCATTAAAAAAACTCACATAGACAGGAGGATTCAGCGGTTGACAGAAGGGTCAAACTTGGATTGGGCAACCGCCGAAGCCCTCGCCTTTGGTTCTCTGCTACATCAAGGTAGGGTGCTCAACCCAATGCAAGGTGCCTGGAATACCTCTGCATCATATCCACATCTCATCCATGTCATATCCACATCATATACTCGTCTTATCCACATCATGTCCACATATCATTCACATCTTATCCACATCATATCCACATCTTATCCACATCTTTTCATCATCATATTTATATCCACTGAAATAAACCAACCTTTTAATATCATTAACCATAAGTTTTTAGATTTTATGCGGAAAATAAATTCTTATTCAGATTTCATTTAAATCCATGTTTTTATATTCTTTATGATTAAGATATATAATACCCTGTTAACCAAAAAGTACATATATTGAATCCTTGCTTATGTAAACAAATACAGTTCTTTTTTTTTAAAAGTTGCCAGTTAAAAAAAAAAAATGAATAATTTACTTTAATTTTTAAAATAAAATTTTAATATTTAAATTCTAAATCAAAATGTTTCCTTATTTTAACTGAGCTAACTTATCGATACTGATGAATTGTCAGGATTCAGTGTGAGAATTAGTGGACAAGATGTTGGACGAGGCACATTTAGTCACAGACACTGCATGATAGTAGATCAGGAGACGGATGATATCTACATACCACTGAATGACGTCTCAGCAACACAGACTAATTTCCTTGAGGTACCTGATGGTAACTATTATTGGAGAGGGTGTTAAAAGTCGTATGATAATTATTTTGGGAAAATAAATGAAGGACTGCGTTCAAGCTTTCAGAAGGAAATAGTCAAACAAGGTATGTGGAAGTGAAAGCTGAAATCGAAAGACAGGACAATAAAATAAAAAGATAAGACATAAATACTTTCATTTCCTTTAATCTTGGTTTTGGAAAATCCAACTTCCAGCAAGAACAATGACGGCCACTTAAGTTTTTATTTTGTTTTTATTTCTTGTCGTATTTTCATTTGTACTGTGTGCTGAGGAAGGCTCTTAGCCAAAACGTTCACATCTTATTGCCCTGTCCTTATTCAAGCTTCCACATACCTTATTCTACTACCTCAGTATTTTGTGAAGAATATCACATGTCTCAGGGTGATTATGATTGGTAAGTATTTGGTATCACAGGATGACTGTGATTGATGAGTTTGGTAGGTATCACAGGGTGATTGTGATTGATAGGTATAACAGGGTGATAGTGATTGGTAGGTATCACAGGGTGATTGTGATTGGTGAGTTTGTTAGGTGTCACAGGATGACTGTGATTGGTGAGTTTTTTAGGTGTCACAGGTTGATTGTGATTGGTGAGTTTGTTAGGTGTCACAGGTTGATTGTGATTGTGGAGTTTATTATGTGTCACAGGTTGATTGTGATTGGTGAGTTTGTTAAGTGTCATAGGGTGATTGTGATTGGTGAGTTTGTTAGGTGTAACAGGTGGCTTATGATTTTTTGAGTTTTTGGTGTAACAGGGTGATTGTGATTGAACCATGGCTCATGGTTTCCCATCATATTTTTGGGAAACTTATCAAAATATTTAGAGAAAAAATATATATGTATATAATGCTATAATTTAATAATTTATTTAATGATAACTTTTTAGATATTTGATCCTAGATCCACCACAAACTTAATCCTAGATCCACCACAAAAATCCTAGATCCACCTCAAACTTAATCCTAGATCCACCACAAACTTAATCTTAGATCAACCAAAATTTTGATCCTAGATCCACCACAAAGTTCCACCCTAGTTCCAACAAAAACAATAGCTTCTTATTCTAAGTTGACATCAAATGTTTATTTATTTGTTGTCATATAGAGGAGCTACATTTTTCCTCAGGTAGCAAACAGTGTTCTGTCAGAAGAAGGTGTCTTAGGCTTTGAGTATGGCGTGAGCATTGATCACCCAAACACATTGGTTATATGGGAGGCACAGTTTGGTGATTTCTTCAACGCCGCACAGACCATCATAGACACTTACGTCACTGCTGGAGAATGTACGACAATTATTTTTTTAAAAATAATAGACCTCAATGGACACTTTCGCCGACCATAATAGACACTTACGTAGAATATCATAGACTCTTACGTCACTGCTTAAGTATGTAAGACGGATACAGCTGTAGATTTATCACTGCTGAAGTATGTAAGACGGATACAGCTGTAGATTTATCACTGCTGAAGTATGTAAGACTGACACAGCTGTACATTTATCACTAAACAATGATATTAATGTTTATAAAAATGTTTTTTAAATGAATGGCACAAATAAATATGCACTAAAATATATCTGATGACCAGCTGACCAATTCAATTATTATTAATTTAATTCTATTTCCTTTATTATGAATATTTAATGTTCAATTTATAATTAGCTGGAGAAAGTATTTATTGTATTAAGTGTAATTAAACTGTTGCCTCCCCATTAGTAAAGTGGCTGCTCCAGTCAGGCCTGGTGATGTTGCTACCTCATGGAATGGATGGAGCTGGACCTGAGCATTCTTCTTGTAGAATTGAACGCTTTTTACAGGTATGTTAATAGCGGTTTATCCTTAACTCATTCCCTACAAATACATCCACATATGACCTCACCCTCTTGCTAATAATACAATATGCACCTTCCTCACAAGAAGTCTTGTTTTTGTGTTAAATATTGCTAAGTCTTGTTTATGTGCTAAATAGTGCTAAGTCTTGTTTATGTGCTAAATAGTGCTAAGTCTTGTTTATGTGCTAAATAGTGCTAAGTCTTGTTTATGTGCTAAATAGTGCTAAGTCTTGTTTATGTGCTAAATAGTGCTAAGATGTCTGTACTTAAAAACAAGGAAGTTAGGTGATTTTTTTTTTATATTGAATGTTTTTTATTATCTTGGTCTAGTGAATTATGTGCTGTAAAGTTGGTCTAGTGAATTATGTGCTGTAAAGTTGGTCTAGTGAATTATGTGCTGTAAAGTTGGTCTAGTGAATTATGTGCTGTAAAGTTGGTCTAGTGAATTATGTGCTCCAAAGTTGGTCTAGTGAATTATGTGCTGTAAAGTTCATCTAGTGAATTATGTGCTGTAAAGTTTGTCTAGTAAATTTGTGATTGAGTAAATATAAAAAACTATGAAATTTATAAATTAAACTATATAAACTATACATTTTTTAAATTTTATTTTATTTCTCAATTTTTTTCATTCTTTTTTTTTTTGAAATGTCCTTATTTTCAGTGGTTCAAGCAATTATTTTTATAATATTAGGATGCATGTGCTTTAAAATGATCGATCTTTGTCTAATATTATAGGGCAGGCCTGCAAAACTCAAAAGGCGGGTCATAATACTTCATGAAAACCTTGTGCGGGCCGAAAGAAAATAGGACAGGGGGTGGGGAGAGCCATTAAGAAAATAATAATAATAAAGAATATTTGGTTATTTACGGGGTAGATTTAAAGTGAAACGTTGCACCGTTACTCGGTAAGAAGTTTGTCGCATTAAGGAGATATATATTGGAAGTGGATGTTCTCAAGATGTCTTCCAAATGATCATCAGTCAAACATGACGTTGCTTGCATCTATCAATGTTTATTATTGGAAATGTCCGTTCACAGAGATAAGTGGTTCCAAAGACACTAAAAAGTTATTAGTGCAACTTCGTAAAGATTTTTTTACTTCACATGGTCCAGATTTTATAAAAACTCCTGCAGGCTGCCTTCTCTGTGCTTGCTTCGGTAAATTGCCGATCATTGTAGTTCGATAACCTCCAGCTGCAATTGAACTTGTATGTCCTCGGGATTCATAAAAAATGGATCTTAAATTAGTTTAAACTGAATTTCCATTCGGTATTAAAAATTCTGTACTCTATCTCTAGTTTTCTCTTTCTGATTTCATTCGTGGCACTTAAATATTTCAAGTACACGTCTATAAGTATATTACCGAACTAAAAGCACAGAATATCAAAACAACGCGATACGTGAGTTCAACACAACACAATTCTACACAATATTACAAAAATAGTAAACGGCTACTCTGCACAGAGGACACTAATTTTGAACACACTTAAGCTACCTAGTTGGTTATGTTGAGTGAGAATACATACGCAAAGGAAACCTTAGTCAATGTCCCTCGAGAAAGAGTAATTGCTCAGGAAAAGCGTGCATGTGCGATTACATATTGTCACAAGGAAAGCAAACCTGTAGGGACTATTTGCACAACGATACAAATTAGTATATCTAATTTAATTTGATTCAATTAAACAAAACATTTATTCTAAGTATACGTGAGGAATTTTTTTTTTTAAATTGATTATTTAAAAATTAAATAAATATTAATAGTATTATACTGTCTATATACGAATATATCGTAATAGTATAAATCAATAAGCTGGGGAATATTAATATTAATTTATAATATGATTTTTCACCAAAGTCTTCGCGGGCCACAAAGTTGATGCTCATGCGGCCGCCCCGCGGGCCATATGTTGTGCAGGCCTGTTTTAAGGGGTTGTTTCAGAGTTAATGCTTAGTAGTGAATGGGTTAAAATTCATGAGTAACTGATTTTTTTTTCTTGATAAATGTATTTTTTATAAGTTTTATATTATTATTAAGATTATTTGTATACATGCAAGCAGCTTTCTATATCATGTAAGTTGGGTTTTTTTACATATAAAATCATAATTAAATGATGTCTTTTCCTGCTCATTATTAGTGATTGTAAATTTGAGAACAAAATTAATAAAAATAATTAAATTATAAATTTATAAACTAATTAATAACAACAAATAATTATCTTTTGCTGCAGCAATGTGATAGCCGGGAAGATGAAGTCGATGGCGATGATGTGAACATTCAAATTGTTAATCCTACCACACCAGCCCAGTATTTCCATCTCCTTAGGAGACAGGTAAAGATGAGCGCTCTATAGTGAGATTATTATTAGCATCTAATATGGAGTAAAATATTAACAAATAAATAAATATTCTTTCATCTCCTCACCACTTAGAAAAGATAACTTTCTGATAAAACAATAATGTCATACATGCAGTGCGCATGCATGGTTAAATAAATCTCATTTGTTTCATATTATTTCTATAATTTCTTCAGATGGTTCGTAATTTTCGCAAACCATTGATTGTTGCTGCCCCAAAGCTGATTCTTCGGTCGCCTGCCGCCACCTCATCTTTGTCTGAAATGGAACCAGGAACTCATTTTCAACCTGTGTTATCTGATCCTGATGTGTCTCCATCAGATGTTACCAGACTTGTGTTCTGCTCAGGCAAACATTACTACGCTCTTTGCACTGAAAGAGAAAGTAGAGGAGCTAAGAATGTTGCTTTTATTAGATTGGAGGTAAAAAAAATGTCTTACATAGTCTTCATGGCTGAATATTTTTATATGATTTATTTGTAGTAATGATACAAAGTCATTGTCCTAAGAGTTTAAACAGACAAAGTCATTGTCTTAAGACTAAATTTGAACACACAAAATCATTGTACTAAGACTAAATTTAAACAAACAAAATCAAAATCAAATTAACATCGGAAACTTTTGTTATTTTATGCATAAGCAACTGTATAAACAGTGTCAAGATGCCGCATCTACAAACTGCTTACCCCCTTATGCGTTATTAATCTTATAATTTTATTTTTATTCAGACCTTAAGTCTTTAGTGTGCTTTTGTTATGATAGAAATCCTGCAAATCGGAACGTCCTTCACCTTGGATCTGTCGACATATAAAAAAATGTTAACAAGGATTACACTTAACAAAGTAATACAAGGACATCTCCAAAAGTTTATACAAAGTAATACAAGGACATCTCCAAAAGTTTATACAAAGTAATACAAGGACATCTCCAAAAGTTTATACAAAGTAATACAAGGACTTCTCCAAAAGTTTATACAAAGTAATACAAGGACATATGCAAAAGTTTATACAAAGTAATACAAGGACATATGCAAAGGTTTATACAAAGTAATACAAGGACATCTCCAAAAGTTTATACAAAGTTATACAAGGACATCTCCAAAAGCTTATACAAAGTAATACAAGAACATATGCAAAAGTTTATACAAAGTAATACAAGGACATCTCCAAAAGTTTATACAAAGTAATACAAGGACATCTCCAAAAGTTTATACAAAGTAATACAAGGACATCTCCAAAAGTTTATACAAAGTAATACAAGGACATCTCCAAAAGTTTATACAAAGTAATACAAGGACATCTCCAAAAGTTTATACAAAGTAATACAAGGACATCTCCAAAAGTTTATACAAAGTAATACAAGGACATCTCCAAAAGTTTATATTTTCTCAATGGATTAAAACAGCACATCATCTATTGGTAGGTTTCTTCCCACTTTTTACAGTTTTAAAAAAGCAAATGCTGTTTTATAAAATAAACCAAGACATGTATTCTAGAAGTAAAAGAATTTCAATGTGTATAATATCACTATCTACAAATTAGATTTATGTATACCACTTAATATTAAATTTTAAGGCGTATAATATCTCTGCTGCAAAGTAGTTTTATGTATATCACTTAATATTACATTTTATAAACATGAATTGTGTTGAGTGCTGTAGATATGTTTGGCTGTGTTGAGTGCTGTAGGTATGTTTGGCTGTGTTGAGTTCTGTAGATATGTTTGGCTGTGTTGAGTGATGTAGGTATGTTTGGCTGTGTTGAGTGCTGTAGGTATGTTTGGCTGTGTTGAGTTCTGTAGATATGTTTGGCTGTGTTGAGTGCTGTAGGTATGTTTGGCTGTGTTGAGTTCTGTAGATATGTTTGGCTGTGTTGAGTTCTGTAGATATGTTTGGCTGTGTTGAGTGCTGTAGGTATGTTTGGCTGTGTTGAGTTCTGTAGATATGTTTGGCTGTGTTGAGTGATGTAGATGTTTGGCTGTGGTGAGGGATGTAGATATGTTTGACTGTGTTGAGTGATGTAGATATGTTTGACAGTGTTGAGTGATGTAGATATGTTTGACTGTGTTGAGTGATGTAGATATGTTTGGGTGTGTTGAGTGATGTAGATATGTTTGACTGTGTTGAGTGATGTAGATATGTTTGACTGTGTTGAGTGATGTAGATATGTTTGACTGTGTTGAGTGATGTAGATATGTTTGGGTGTGTTGAGTGATGTAGATATGTTTGACTGTGTTGAGTGATGTAGATATGTTTGACTGTGTTGAGTGATGTAGATATGTTTGACTGTGTTGAGTGATGTAGATATGTTTGGGTGTGTTGAGTGATGTAGATATGTTTGACTGTGTTGAGTGATGTAGATATGTTTGACTGTGTTGAGTGATGTAGATATGTTTGACTGTGTTGAGTGATGTAGATATGTTTGACTGTGTTGAGTGATGTAGATATCTTTGGCTGGTCATTGGATGCTCCCTGTATTGTTCATTTGTCTGCTCTATCATTCCCTGGTATATTGTGATGCACTGGTATATTGTGATGTCCTGGTATATTGTGATGTTCTGGTTAGAGACCGACCGAAAGTGATTTTCTGATTTCGGCCGAAGCCGAAAATAGGCCGAAAATTTAAAATGAATTTCGCCAAAACCGAAAATAGGCCAAAAGTTTTAAAATGACTTTCGGCCGAAACCGAAAAAAGGCCGAAAGTTAAAAATGACTTTCGGCCGAAAATGAAATATTTAGATATTTTGAAATTCGTTCCCGCATACATTCTGCATACATCGAAAATTATGGGGGAAAGTATAAATATTTACATTCTTTTTATAAAAAAGTGAGATAATCATAAATATTAATAAATAAACATCTAATATAACATCTTGTTGTTAAAGATCGTTATGTTTGTTATTAAATATCGCTTAGTTTGTTGTTAAAGATCGTTCAGTTTTGTGTTAATGATCGCTTTATTTGTTCTTAAAGATCGGTTAGTTTGTTCAGAAAGATCGCTTAGTATGTTGTTAAAAATCGATTATTTTGTTTTTTAAGATCGCTTAGTTTGTTCTTAAAGATCGCTTAGTTTGTTCTTAAAGATCGCTTAGTTTTTGTTTAAAGATCATTTAGTTTGTTATTAAAGATCATTTAGTTAAAATAGTTCATTTTGTTTGTTAAGATTGCTTAGTTTTTTCTTAAAGATCGCTTAGTTTTTGTTTAAAGATCTTATAGTTTGTTATTAAGGATCATTTGGTGTGTTCAAAAAAGATAATTAAGTTTTTCATAAAGATCACTTAGTTTGTGTTATTAAAAGATCGTTCAATTTGTTCATAAAGATCATTTAGTTTGTTCTTAAAGATCGTTTAGTTTGTTCTTAAATGTCGCTAGTTTATTGTTAAATATCGATTTCGCCGAGTATTAGATGACTGAAATCTCTGTCACTTTCGGCCGAAACCGAAAAAAAACACAAAGTTAACTTTTCTCTTTCAGCGAAACCGAAATTAAGCTGGAAGTTAACTTTCAGTTTCGGCCAAAACACAGGCTTTGATAGATAAGGTTATGTAGGCCTTGATAAAGGAGGTTACACAGGCCTTGATAGAGGAGGTTACCCTGTCCTTGATAGAGGAGGTTACGCAGGCTTTGATAGAGGAGGTTACGCAGGTCTTGATAGAGGAGGTTACACAGGCCTTGATAGAGGAGGTTACACAGGCATTGATAGATAAGTCCACGCTTAAGGGTTGTGATTATTAATTTGTTTTAAATATGACCTGTAAGTCTCTTGCAGTTCGAGTTTTATTTTGTAAAAAAATATCATTTGTAAATTCCCCAGAGCCTTTGCCCATTTCCAACCAGTGAATTACAAGGTGTCCTCAATCTGTATCCAAAGAGCAAGGAGTTTATCTGGAGTCAAGAGGAGCACAGAAATATGGGAGCTTGGACATTTTTAGCATCACGCTTTGAGAATCTTGTTGGGTGCAATGTAAGTCTGTCTTATAGCACTGTTTGTTGGCCGCAATGTCAGTCTGTCTTGTAGCACCGTTTGTTGGGTGCAATGTAAGTCTGTCTTATAGCACTGTTTGTTGGCCGCAATGTAAGTCTGCCTTATAGCAATGTTTGTTTGGGTGCAGTTTGTTTAAGTTTTTGTAACACTGTTTGTGAATCCAAATATTTCACCTGTCCACCAAATATCACACCTGTCCACCAAATATTACACCTGTCCACCAAATACAGACCTGTTTACTCTTACGATTTTGGCGTACAATGTACGATTTTGAGGTGTAAACATTGTATATAATGTATGCTTATTTTTACTATAAATATACGGTATTGAACGATTTTGTGATAATATTGTACGATTTTAAGAGTTTGAGGGTAAACAGGTCTGCAAATATCATACCTGTTCACCAAATATCACACCTGTCCATCAAATATCACACCTGTCCACCAAATATCACAACTGTTCACCAAATATCACACCTGTCCACCAAATATCACACCTGTCCACCAAATATCACACCTGTCCACCAAATATCACACCTGTCCACCAAATATCACACCTGTCCACCAAATATTACAACCGTTCACCAGCTAGATGTAGGTGTTAAATTTTTGTCTTTTCACTAAATATACCAGCTTAATTGTGGTGATTAGTGTGTTTCACTATCTTTAGCCGGTCTGAAATCAGATGGTTTAAAAAATGTGCACAAAAAAAATGTATCTTAAAACTGGGGCCTTATAAGGGTCCTTGATAGTAAGAAAATAATTTGTATTATCCTAAAACCAAACTTAAAATTCATTGGTTCATAAGCTTCACCAGAACCATCAGAATTAGAGAGTGGTGATTATGGGTCTTGTTTAGAGGCTTCACCAGAACCATCAGAATTAGAGAGTGGTGATTATGGGTCTTGTTTAGAGGCTTCACCAGACAATGAGAGAGTGTTGAAGCCTAAGATCAACACTTGTACAAATAAAGGTGGAGTACCGTACAAATAAAGGTGGAGTACCGTACAAATAAAGGTGGAGTACCAAACAAATAAAGGTGGAGTACCGTACAAATAAAGGTGGAGTACCGTACAAATAAAGTACCGTACAAATAAAAGTGGAGTACCTTGTTATTTGAGGGTGCAAATTTAAGGTTGAGGGTGCAAATTTAGGTTACAGTTTATTGACGAAATTATTAAAGGATAAAACAAATGCACATTAATTTGATATTGATAGTTTTATTTAACTTGATTTTTCCTCTTTCCAAGAAATTAATTTGATATTTATAGTTTTATTTAACTTGATTTTTCTTCTCTTTCCAAGAAATTAATTTGATATTTATATTTTTACTTAACTTGATTTTTCTTCTCTTTCCAGCTTAAATATGTTGGCAGGCAAGTCCTGGGAACACCAGCTGTTGGCATTGGTGAACTTCACAAGCAGGAGATTGCTGAATTAATGAACAATACTTTCTCTTAGAGTTACATTTTCCCTGCATGAACTGAAAAAAATGTTAATGGCTTGGTGTGGTTATTTCAATATTTGGCCGGAAGCGATTTGCTGTTGATGAGTGTTATTATAGAATTAGCTTATTTTTCTTATAACGCAGCTGTTTGTTGTTTTTCCTTCTCCTGAGGATCTTACAGTTAATGTGTTGCATGGTTTGGTTTTAAAATTCAACTTATTATAGGAGAATTTTACCTGTGCTGTGAAGAAAAATTCACATTTCTCTATACACTTATAACATTAAAAAGTTATATTACAACAGGAGATTTTGTAAAACTTTTAAATTTTAAGAATAATATTTAAATTTAAAGAAGATGTTTTTGTATTTTATGTACACTGATACCATTGATAAAAATATAAAAATGAGATTATATGAAATTGATTATTAAAACTACTAATAATTTATTTAAAATTATATGATTTATTTGATTAAATTATGTGTTGGAAAAATTAATTTCTTAGTATGAGTAAAAGTATAAAAGCTTTAAATGGATTTATGCTCCAACACTAGTCTACACAGTTAACTGCATTGTCAGTTTTTTTGCAGGCCAAAATGTTAAGTTTTAATTTTGTATTGCATTTATTAGGAAACTATTTTTAACCAGAATTAACAAGTAAAGAACTTTTAATCATTAAATCCAATTGTCCAATTCAATTAAAAATCCCTCAATCGCAAGTTAAGCTATTTTCTTTTTACTTATGTCTCAAACCATTCTTCTCTAATCAAGTTATGATGTATTTAGTCAAGGTATGATGTATTTAGTCAAGGTATAATGTATTTAGTACTTTCCTCAATGTTAAAATCTAGTCTGTGGGGCCTAGAAGCTTCATCTTTTTGCTAAGTGTCAACGTTTCAGACACAGTAGTATTGTTTAGTATTGTTTAGTCCTGTTAAGGAAAAGTTTATGCTAAAATAACATGGGCCCAAAAATAGGCATTTTATGAGCCTAAACATTAATTATGGAGAATTTCTAATTTGTGTACCTAGTTCCTCCTCATTGTTCAAGAATTTATTTTGCACATTGTTTAGTATTTATTCTTCCAGTATACAGAATATATTTTGACTTTTCAATTTCATGCTTAAATTGCACTACCATTTATTGCTGCCCATGTTAAGTAAATTACCTCCCATGTTAAGTAAATTATCTGCCATGTTAAGTGAGAAAAAGAATTTACTATGCTTAATTTACTATGATCATTTTCTTTAACATATTCGCACTGTATTTAAATTAAAATAAAAACTTGTAAGGGGGCATCATGTTTGATCGCAGCAGTGAATGAAAAGTCAGGCATACACAGTTTAATTGTAACATTTCATTTTGGGGACTATTTTATTTTGAAGTAAAATAGGTTCAATTCAAAATAAATTACTATTGAATAAAACTGTTAGTTTATTTGTTAATTCTGTATTAAATTGATAGCTTAACAATAACAGATTTAATTTTGTTCTCCTTTGTTGAGAAGGTGGGTAATAACATAACTGCTGGATGAAACAATAAGAAAGCTGTCATCAATTTCACCATACACCTAAAGACAAGGTTTTCTGTTTCAATATTTTAACAGATTTATTTCTAAATAAATTTAATAAATTCCAATAGTTAGGTGACATAAAAAGGTATAAGAAAATTTAGGAAAATACATTATTGCTGTTTTAAAACTTTTTAACAAATAAATAAAATAAGAAGTCTGACATTAAAGTTGAATTACAGTAACTCATATACTTTACAACGGGCATTGAGAAAATCTAGATAATTCTGATAATATCTTAGTTGGAAGAACTGTATCAAAATATTTTTCTGAACAAATGTGTATGCATTATCATTGATGTGAGAATCAAATGTGCAAAAGAAAAGACATCACTTTATAAAAATCTAGCGTATATTTGTTTAAATTTGTGTTTATGCTGTTATCTATCACAAACCAAGCTTTTCAAGGAAACACAATTTTTGGATGAGATCATATATATATATATATATATATATATATATATATATATATATATATATATATATATTGTGACAGAGCTATCAACAAGATTTCCCAAATGCACAAGACTTGTTATGTGCTTCAGTAAGGATGTTTACAAAAATATTATAATCAAATATAATGGCTGGTGTTAAAGCTCCTTATTAAAAATTACACTATGAAATTTTACAAAAATTTAAATCTGTATGTAAGATATAACAGCAAAGAAAACTAATGTATTCATACTGGGATAACTTAGTTAATCAACATCATAAAAATCTGATATCATTTTTGCAAGCATGACTTCCTTCATCTGAGGTGATACGAGATGTCTGTGTAACATGCGTACAGTAGCCCCAGCACTATCCCCCCACACCTTCATGACCAAAGCCATGGCATTGGGGGCTTTCATTCTCAGCCAGTGTTCAATCAGATCATCAGGAAGACCTACTCTTGCTGCTATCAAACGCCAGTCATTTCCTAAAAGCAAAATAAAACAATGAGTCCAGCACATGATAAATTAATTGTAATATTGTAAATATTACTAGTTCACTAAAAAATACAACATAAACTGAAAAATTCAAATAAATTTCACTTTGCTGTCAGTTAGGTTTATAAAAAATTTGGGTTTATTTTTTTCCTCATAAAATTTTCTCATTTCAAATTCAAAACTTTTTACTTCATCTTCAAGCTTTTATAAGATATTGTTAACAGTTTTCAAATTTGACTATAGTAAATAACATTTATAAGAAATTCTAAAGAATATGACTAAAAAACCATGCTATGAATGAATTATAATGTCTTTTTTAAGTTTCAATAACATTGGGCTAAAAAATATACATAGTACTAACAACTAAAAGGTTTTAATTACCATTTCCTTTACGTTTGCTGAGGCTTCTGATAATCTGACTTCTCAATCCATTATGCATGTCAAAGATGTGGGTCTCTCCTGGAAGCTTTATGTCAGGCTGTATTTAAACAGATGCAAAAAGTTTTTGGAATTTACTTGTGGAATTACAGGCTATAAAATTAACTTTTAAAAAGTTAATAAAACTGATTGCAAATGAAACATTTTCTTTTACTACTTTGAGGTGGAAAATTATTGTTTGCAATGTCCTCTCATTAGCTTAGAGTTCCTAACTAGTCAAAATATATAATAAAAGAAATTTCAGGTAAATTCAATTTAATAAAGCCCCATTGCACATACTTGGTTATGAAAACTGTCAAATCAAAAATGTAAAGGTAACCTACAGGGGTTAAATCCTCTTTCTCTGGACCCCTCGGTGTTAAAGTAATGCTCCTGGCTTTCGGTTTCAATACACTGAGATAAAGTGGTGGAATTTCCAATTCTTCATTTAATGCTGGGTAATCTGTATTACATCTACTCATTGCTGAATAGGCTCTTGGATGCAATTCACTACAGTTTGGATTAAGTATGTTCTGGCCATTTGAGGAAAAACTATTTATTTTCGTCTCTGGTGATGCAAATATCTGAGTGGTACCTGAAAATTATTTTAAACTCCTTTAACAATTAGTTTAAATATAAATCATCTATCTGATTTGTATAAAAATTTATTTCTCAGCAAGTAAACTTATTGCTCTCCCTACACATTGCCCAATTAGTATTTAATAAAATTATTAATATAAAATAGTTAGATAAAGACCAAATGTGAATATATTCATATGTATACGTATTATTGCTACATATGGGCCTGATAATACAAAATAATATTAAATTAATGTATCTACTTACAGCAGTCATACCACATTCTTTTAGCTTGAACCTTTAAATCTTCCACAGAGTACATTCTTTCCATGTCTTTCAGTTCATTTTCAATTTTTAACTTGAGCTTTAGTAACTTTGCCAACTCATTGTTCAGTTGTGTTATTCTTGTCTCTAGTTCCTCAAGTCGAAGTTCATAAGAATGTAAGCTGGTTCCAGATACAGTTAAGTTTGATAACATGGTTGCAATGTCTGGCACTGGAATATCTACAAGGTTGCAACCTTCTGGTAGTTTATAGTTGTCAACATTCACAGCCAAAACATGCTGAATTACATCGTGCAGTTTGTCATGGTAAGAAGCAGCAGATTCTTTTAGGGAGGTGTTCTCTTCTCTCAATTCATCAGCTGCTCTTTTAAGAAATGCAATGATAGGATCTTCTATCTCCTCTTTCTTTCCCTTTTTCCCTGATGTAGGTCTCTTACTTTTTGGAGCCCCTTTCTTTGCAGACATTTTCCTCTGGATATTTTAAAGCATTTAACTGTAAATAATTTCAAATTTTCTGTCACCTGATTAAGTATTATTAAATATCTATAAATTCATTAATGAATGTTAATGATTGGGGGTAATAATAGTAATAGCAGTAAGTACTGTACTGATTCAGTTCAGTAAAGAAGTAAAAAGACGTGCCAGAATGGTGCATCGATACGGGAAGGGAAGAGGTAAATTAGTAGTTTTGCAAACTAAAATTAACCATATGAAAATATATATTAACTCTATAAACTATATTTAAAAAATTGAAGACCCTAAAAACATCAAAGTAACGAAAAAGGATCTCTCCAGAGATTGGCGGCCATTAGTTTACATTGGTCACGATGGTCTCTAAGTGCTTTACATACTACGTCATCAAATTTGTAGTGTTCGTTACTTCCGTAAACATCAATGGCGACGGTGCTGCGAAAACTGCTTCCTAGGTTCAGGATCAATACCGATTCCAACTGTGTGCGGAGTCTCTTTCTCACAGTGTCATAGTGCATTCTAGGGCCAGGATTGTCTCGTGTGCTGCTGTGTCTGTGGTAAGTTTTGGTCTGCGAGAACTAGGTCGATAAATCAATGTTGCGGTCGTCTTGACTCTCCTGGATAGTGAGAGCGACATGGATGCTGATAGAAGAATAGTTTTATTCTTTGAGTAAGATATTTCCCAAGATTTATTTAATTTTTAATATAGAGAGTCTATAATTATTTAGGACATCCTAATTTAGAATTGATAGGAATTTGTTTTATTTGTTAAAATTGATTTATTAAACTGTAGGCTAGGCCTAGGAACTTGACAACTTCAATTTTAAATCTGTGTCAGTGTTAGTGATGTGTGTGTTAATAGTAGTCCGCTAATATAAATAATGAGCTTTATTGAGGGTTATTTTCTTTACTTATTTTTAAATTGTTTTTCTTTTATAGGGAATATTGTCATACTTAAGCTATTTGAATGAAATTAAGTTTTCCAATGATGTGTAAATTCGTCCAATATTTTCTGTAAAAACCGTAGAAAAGGACTTTACTTTAAAATAATAAAAATAATGTTAAATAATAAATGATTGACATTGTTGCCTAATGAATGCAGTAGTCGATAGTCTCAACTAGAACTAAACTAACTTGAAGAACTAAAAATAATAAATGCCAATATCTGAGGTAGCATTGAAAGTAAGAAGTTGAGAATAACTATTTTTTTCTTTATAATAGTTAGAGTAATTTTTTTTAATGCTACTGTTTACTCTCAGAATTTCTATATCAGAGTCGAATACTTTAATTTACAATTATGTGAAAAATTAACAAAATTTGGGTCATTTAGGACCTAAAAATAAAAATCTTAATTTTTTATGATTAATGAATTGCTAAAAATAGTATGTGTATCAGATAATGTTTACACTATTTTATTATATGAAAGAAAAAAATTAATCTATAGGCCTAAATGGAATCTCATGTCAATCATTCGAAATGAAAAAAGATATCCAATAAACTCAATAAACAGAGGATACACTTTCAATGCTACTTCAGATGTTGACATTTCTCATTTTTAATTATATATGTTTGCTCAAATTCAAGTTCCATGAAACTATTTCATTTTTAACCTGTTTTTCAACTTGTAATTGACATTATTACATCATTCTTATTTATTTGTTGTTGTTTTTTATTAGTGAGCCCTTTTCTCTTTTATGATTTTTCAAGAAAAATTGGGTCAAATTAGCACAACATTGGAAAACTTAATTTAAATTTGAATAACTTAAGTATGAATATATATATTTATGCAATATTATCAGTATAAAAGAAAAGAATTACAATGTAAAAAGATGTAAATAGAATAAATCTCAATAAAGCACAATTTAAATAATTTTAATCCACCCTACTTCCACCTTTATTGTCCGCTAAATTATTAAATCCTGTAGGTTGTGAAATGCCTCAAAAATTAAAGGATGCATTGAAATTTAAGAAGGACTAATTTTCTTTTAAAAAGCTGCTGAATTTTTATTGTCAATCTTATCACTAGTAAGATGTCTTCTGAACATGAGATACAATTTCAGTCATAATTTTAAATGTTTCCTTTCATGATGTTATTTAAAAGCATGACCAATTTAAAAGTCCAACAAATCTAGATTAATAGCATTAAAACATGATATATTTTTTTTTATTAAATACAAAAATAACTTTAGCAATGACTTGATTACACATATCAATTTATTTCTTATTGTAATTAACATAGCGAAATTACATTTTCACTCCCCAGGGGGTTGCGCCTTAAGTTTGGCTATGCACAGAGCCTTAAACATTAAACATAGAATAGTTAGACGAGTAGACATAGGAAAAGCCCCCCTTGCAACATTTGATACTATTGATCTTGGTGACGAGGATGTTAGCACAAGCCGTGGCCAGTCTACACACTGCTCCAGTGACAGTGCAGCCCTTCAGCAGGTCTTAGACTCTACAAAGCTATTTCTTTCAGATGGGAGCCTGAAAACTGAAACCATAGGGGGAAACAACTCTAAAAAGTCCCTGTCCCTGGCAGGCGGGGAAGAAAAAGGAGGAAAAGATGCTGAGGTTGCTAGGGACAAATCTAGAGTTGGTGGAGAGGAGAGTAACACAGGTGACAGAAATGAGAACAGTTTTGTTCCCACTGATTGCCCTGTAGTTGAAGCTGCCAAATTTGTGGCTAAGCCACCAGAGGCTAATCTGCTCAAACAGGATTTTGCTCCAGCTGCCAAATGTGAAGAGATAGATCAAGGCAATCAGAAACCTTCAACGGTCCACAGTTTGAGCCGCCAAGGAACCATTGGCAGAGTGTCTATTCCAATAAAAAAACAAGACTCCGATTCATCATCAAGTTCAGGGTCATGTAACGAAAACACTCCGACATTCCATGTAGCACGTCCGTCTGTGGGGCACTTGGATTCTTCAGACTTGGATGGTAATTTATGTGATCTTGGCAGTGAAAGAGACTGTCAGTCCAATCTTGTGCCTGAAAACATTGATCCAAGTCAAATATTATCACCATCCAAGCGCAAGGCATATGAACGCCGAATTGAACGACTGAGAGTGACCACATCGCCTATTGCCCGCCCTCGCAGTCACACGCCCATCAGTGTTGTAACACTTGATGAATATGCAACAATTAGTTCCCCTGAGGCTTCACCGGCTCCACCTTCCGCCATTCCTGACAAACTCAAAATAACACTTCCATGTGATGAGTTCACACTTAAGCCAAAGACTCCAAAGCTTCAAAGTGCACGACGTAAAGACTCGGATGAGACTTGTTTTGAGTTTGCTGAAGACATTCTTTTTAGCCGCACCAAATCGGCATTGGTTGTCAATGAAGATGGCCAAATTCCAGTGTCACCTCGTAGGGTTCTAATTCCACCAACCATTACACCTACCACTTCACCCAAGCTTTCAGCAGGCCCCAGATTATCTGCCAACTCACCCTATGAAGAATGTTCCAATGCACCAAAGCTTCTTTATATACAACAAAATGAAACTGCTCACAGCTTCTTTGGTGAAACGGTAGATGAGACCGAAGAAGAAAATTGGGCCAGTTTCCCTGACAGTTCAGGTCCTGTGGACAGGAGTGAATCATCTTGTGCAGACAGTAAAATTGACGAAAGTGATCCATTGATCTGTGATTCAAACACCACACTAGATCAGACTGGAATAGAATGTGGTGAGCAGCTACAGCCTGACTCACCTGTTGTTGAAAATGTAGAACGTGGTCCTACCACCAGTTCTAAAACTACCCAAAATTTAACTAATAAAGGCAGGGATTTGGTTCATCTGTGTGCTGATGTGTATAATGTAGAAACGGATGCAAGTTTCCACAGTACTGCACTTGTGGTGCTTGAATCTGATGAGATTCTTACAGTGGAAATAAATCTTTTGGAAAAAGGTTGTGAGAAACATATTGAAATAGATATCAAACCAAGTGGCAGCCTGTCTCCGGTAGATGTAGAGTCACTGGGGGTGCCTGGCAAACCATTGAAACCAGGCTTTTATGAGGCAGATGTGAGTTCTTATTCCAGAACAACACAGGACTCAGACAACAACAGTGGAGCTAATGAGACCTTCCCCTTAATCATTGGACCTAAGAGCATAATAGACTCTGGTCATTCAGAAATCTTAACACACCAAGACAACGACCCTTCTCCTTATGATGAAACAACAGATCTCTTCATAGAAGAGTTTCTACCACAAGATAGCTGCAAGAGTCAGCCTTTGTCCCATGTTGTTGAATCTCAGATTCTCAAGTCTAAATCAGCAGAGTTGGGTCTAAGACTTACAACTGATCCACAACAAAAAGGTCAGTCTAATGTTAAATCAGATTCTTTGGCTGCAAGGATTGTGCCTGTTAGCAAAGTGCTAAAAGAAGGAGACCATACCTCACAACCTTTTCCCATTGATGAGTTCAAAGAAAACTTTCAAAGTTTCGAAAGTGTCCCACCATTGCTGCCTCCACCAAGCAGCTGTTTTTTTGAAGAACAATTAGAAGCCGTTCCTCCACCATTGCCGGAGAGACCATTAAGCATAAATCTTTTTGAAAAAATACCCCCCTTACGTTCTGGTCCAAATCTTTTTGAAGAAAAATTTCAGGCTACTCAGAGAGTCCCCCCTCCAGTTCCAGAGCGTACACCAAGCACAAATCTGTTTGAAGAGAATCTTCAGGTGCTAGAGAAAGTCCCCCCACCAGTTCCTGAGCGACCACCCAGCACTAATATCTGTGAAGAAAAATTAAAACCTTGTGAACACATTCCCCCACCGGTTCCTGAGCGACCACCCAGCACTAATATCTGTGACCATACATTACAATCTTGTGAGAACGTTCTCCCAGTTCTGCAGCAACGTCCGCCTAGCACAAACCCATTTGAAGATAAATTCCAAGGTTTGGACAGGAACCCACCACCCTTACCCAAGCGACCAACGGGTGGAAATTTGTTTGAAGAAAAGTCTGCTGGAAACGTCCCACCTCCAATCCCCCAGAGATCACCCAGTTCAAATCCACCCGAGGCCAAGCTTGAGACATCCGAGAGAGTCCCGCCGCCCTTACCTCCTCGGCCACCGAGCACCAACCCATTTGAAGCCGGTTTTGGGGATCAAGTTTTGGACCCATTTGACTTAGGATTGCAGCCCCCAAACATTACTTCTGGAACCGCTGGCCAGGCTAATGAGCTTGTTGACTTGTTTTTGTTGTTAGATTCACACAACTCATCAGCATAGGGCAACCTTCACTGGATTCTTTCATTGGGTGAGTTCTCTTCTATGTTTTATATAACCATCGCTTCAGTTAAGTGAAACTCATTTGCACAACTTTATAAAATACATATTCCAGAAGTCAAATTCATTCTCTCATCCCATTCAAAGCTTTCTAGATGAGCCAGGTGTGCAATTGTCTGCTGTTCTATGTCATTAGATCAGCCAGGTGTGCAATTGTCTGGTGTTCTATGTCATTAGATGAGCCAGGTGTGCAATTGTCTGGTATTCAATGTCATTAGATGAGCCAGGTGTAGAATGGTCTGGTGTTCTATGTCATTAGATAAGCCAGGTGTGGAATGGTGTGGTGTTCTATGTCATTAGATGAGCCAGGTGTAGAATGGTCTGGTGTTCTATGTCATTAGATGAGCCAGGTGTGGAATGGTGTGGTGTTCTATGTCATTAGATGAGCCAGGTGTGGAATTGTCTGGTGTTCTATGTCATTAGATGAGCCAGGTGTGGAATTGTCTGGTGTTCTATGTCATTAGATGAGCCAGGTGTGGAATTGTCTGGTGTTCTATGTCATTAGATGAGCTAGGTTTGGAATGGTCTGGTGTTCTATGTCATTTGATGAGCTAGGTGTGGAATGGTCTGTTGTTCTATGTCATTAGGTGAGCTAGGTGTGGAATGGTCTGTTGTTCTATGTCATTAGGTGAGCTAGGTGTGGAATGGTCTGTTGTTCTATGTCATTAGGTGAGCTAGGTGTAGAATTGTCTGGTGTTCTATGTCATTAGGTGAGCTAGGTGTGGAATGGTCTGTTGTTCTATGTCATTAGGTGAGCTAGGTGTAGAATTGTCTGGTGTTCTATGTCATTAGATGAGCCAGGTGTAGAATTGTCTGGTGTTCTATGTCATTAGATCAGCCAGGTGTAGAATTGTCTGGTGTTCTATGTCATTAGATGAGCTAGGTTTGGAATGGTCTGGTGTTCTATGTCATTTGATGAGCTAGGTGTGGAATGGTCTGTTGTTCTATGTCATTAGGTGAGCTAGGTGTGGAATGGTCTGTTGTTCTATGTCATTAGGTGAGCTAGGTGTGGAATGGTCTGGTGTTCTATGTCATTAGGTGAGCTAGGTGTGGAATGGTCTGGTGTTCTATGTCATTAGGTGAGCTAGGTGTGGAATGGTCTGGTGTTCTATCTCATTAGATGAGCCAGGTGTGGAATGGTCTGTTGTTCTATCTCATTAGATGAGCCAGGTGTGGAATTGTCCGCTGTTCTATGTCATTAGGTGAGCCAGGTATGGACTTGTCTGGTGTTCTATGTCATTAGATGAGCCAGGTGTGGAATAGTCTGGTGTTTATGTCATTAGATGAGCTAGGTGTGGAATTGTCTGGTGTTGTTTGTCATTTTTTGTTTATTCCTATACATATTTTATATGTGTATATTATATCCACACAGTACCCAATATATACATCCACTCAGTACATGATACATATCACCACTATGTACCTGATTGAAAGATCCATACTGTACCTGTTTATTATATCCACATGATGCCCAATTAATATATCCCCACCATACCTGTTTAATATCCACACACTGATTCATATATCCACACAGTTCCAGCTTTATACATCCATACATTACCTGATTGATACATCTACACTGTATAAATAAGATTCTTTTATTGATTTAAATAAATGAAAATGTTTTTAATTATATTTTACTTATTCATTCTCAGCATATAAACAAAGACATATTCTCATTTTCACCAAGGCAGGCTTTTACAACTCTAACAATTGCAACACATGAAATCTAAACTATTTCTCTTGTGTAGAAATCAGCCATCTATGAACTCCTTTATTGACAATAATGACTTGATTAGTGATCGTTTAGATTGGATAACCACTGGGGGAACAAGCTGGTCAATTTGTACTAACAGGGGAACAAAGGAAGTTTTTATATCTTTTTGTCCTTACTTTAAAAGAAAGAGTTTGCCCTGATCTGACTGATCTTAATGATCTGTGATGAAAGGAGTGGGGGATGTATCAGACATGCAAAGTCTGAGCATGTTCACTTGTGATGAAGGGAGTGGGGAATGTATCAGACATGCAAAGTCTGAGCATGTTCACTTGTGATGAAAGGAGTGGGGGATGTATCAGACATGCAAAGTCTGAGCATGTTCACTTGTGATGAAGGGAGTGGGGAATGTATCAGGCATGCAAAGTCTGAGCATGTTCACTTGTGATGAAAGGAGTGGGGGATGTATCAGACATGCAAAGTCTGAGCATGTTCACTTGTGATGAAGGGAGTGGGCGATGTGTCAGGCAGCAAAGTCTGAGCATGTTCACTTGTGATGAAGGGAGTGGGGGATGTATCATGCATGCAAAGTCTGAGCATGTTCACTTGTGATGAAGGGAGTGGAGGATGTATCAGGCATGCAAAGTCTGGAATGTCACTTGTGATGAAGGGAGTGGGGGATGTATCAGGCACCAAAGTCTGAGCATGTCACTTGTGATGAAGGAAGTGGGGGATGTATCAGGCATGCAAAAACTGAGCATGTTCACTTGTGATGAAGGGAGTGGGGGATGTATCAGGCACCAAAGTCTGAGCATGTCACTTGTGATGAAGGAAGTGGGGGATGTATCAGGCATGCAAAAACTGAGCATGTCACTTGTGATGAAGGGAGTGGGGGATGTATCAGGCACCAAAGTCTGAGCATGTTCACTTGTGATGAAGGAAGTGGGGGATGTATCAGGCATGCAAAAACTGAGCATGTTCACTTGTGATGAAGGGAGTGGGGGATGTATCAGGCACCAAAGTCTGAGCATGTCACTTGTGATGAAGGGAGTGGGGGATGTATCAGGCATGCAAAAACTGAGCATGTCACTTGTGATGAAGTGAGTGGGTGATGTATCATGCATGCAAAGTCTGAGCATGTTCACTTGTGATGAAGGGAGTGGAGGATGTATCAGGCATGCAAAGTCTGGAATGTCACTTGTGATGAAGGGAGTGGGGGATGTATCATGCATGCAAAGTCTGAGCATGTTCAATTGTGATGAAGGGAGTGGGGGATTTATCAGGCATGCAAAGTCTGAGCATGTTGCTTGTGGTGAAGGGAGTGGGGGATTTATCAGGCATGCATAGTCTGAGCATGTCAGTTGGGATGAAGGGAGTCGGGGGNGATGAAGGGAGTGGAGGATGTATCAGGCATGCAAAGTCTGGAATGTCACGTGTGATGAAGGGAGTGGGGGATGTATCATGCATGGAAAGTCTGAGCATGTTCAATTGTGATGAAGGGAGTGGGGGATTTATCAGGCATGCAAAGTCTGAGCATGTTGCTTGTGGTGAAGGGAGTGGGGGATTTATCAGG